TTGAAATACAAAGCTATTTCCTTCCACACTTTGTCCTGTTTAGAAGTTATTGATGAATGGCAAAATAGTTTGGACTGCCAAACATTCCATCATGTTTTCTGGAGATGATGGGTAGGCAAATCGCACCAACCTGGCAATATCTACTTGATATTCTTGAAGGGTCTCGTCTCGTTTCTGTTTGTGATTCTTTAAGTGTAATTACTTCAAGTGTTCGTGGCCATATCGCATATTTGGTATCTTTTTGAGCTGTTTAAAATTATCCATCTCTTCCACAGGTATTGTCTGAAGAACACCTAAAGGCGTCTTCTCGAAGGGCGATGGTCAAATTTACTGCCTTCTCTTGTTCAGACCATTCGTTTGCTCTGGCAGCTGTTTCAAACTGTTTCATCTTTCCGTCGGAAGGACAAGGGCAGAATTTACAGCTCCTTTTAATTTCAACCTTGGCTCCACCTTATGGCGCTTTATTTTACCGTCCTTGGTCTGGTCTACGTGTTTAATTTCTTCTATCTTCTTTCCTATCTCTTTTATTTTCTTTTCAACGGAAATAATTATTTTCTCCTCAACGGAAGAAATCATACCTTCCATAAAAGAAATTAAGTTTTTCATAGAAGTCATATCAAAAGTGATTTTATCTTTTAAAGAAGATATTTTGTTTTCCAAATCAGAAGAAATTTCGGTTTCTAAAGAAGATATGTCCAAGGAGGAAATGTCTGAAGAAATTTTAGTTTTAAATGAGGCAATATTAGAAGAAATATCGGTTTTCATGGAAGTCATATCAGAAAAAATATCAGTTTTTAAAGAATACATATCGTTTTTCATATCGGAAATTGGGGAAATTATAGAAGACGCATCATCCGAAAATAGAAACGTTTCCGGATCCAAACCTTTATTTTCTAGTGCTTTTTTAAGTCGTTCTGCCAGCTCTGATTTCTTCCCTGTCGTCTCCAGTTCACGTTCTTCTAATTCTCAACGTTATTCAGTCAGTTTTATATCACACAGTTGTTTAGCTATTTTAGTACACTATTTATTTACAATCCCACAATATATAAACAATATATATATATTTCGAATGTCTTTAAAATGTTTAGTATTTATCATCACAAGTTTTTGTACACGACTGACTCTACTGTGTTCTTCCATCAATATTTATGTACACATTTAAAAGGTCTAGAATGTTATCGCCAAAACTAGTGACATTATCCCCTTCGTTTGTTCGTTCGAAAGCGCCTTCGCCATAGTCGTCACATATGTTTGGTCTTGAGGGGTTTAATTATGTATGATATTCGGAAAAGTTAAGACTCAAAGGCCAAATAAGACAGAGGGTGACTTGGATAATAAGAGCATGACTGAATACCGAAATGCATCGCTTTACAATACATTTTATCAAATGACATTTGATTGAAAACATATTTTATCGAATACCATTTAATCAAAGATATATTTTATCGAATAACATTTTATCGAAAAAAAAATAGATTTATACTTCATTAGATCAAAAGGACAATATATCGAAAATCAACATTAAAAATAGTAAAATATAAAAAAATCATACGGCACCATACAGCCGTCCGTCTAATCCCTATTACCGGGGAAACTAAACTCAGCGGCTATCGTCAAATTAGGTACAAATGGCCAATTTTTCAATAATTTTAAACGATAGCTGCCAACTTTAACAAATTTTATCATCACAAACTGTTCTGTATCTGTAACGTGTGGAGGGTGGGTTAGCCCCATAGCACTTAGGCCTCACTAGGCCCATATTACATAATCTTAAGATGATAGGCACCTCCTAGCTCATAAGCCAGCCTACAGATTTAAAGTGGTTGACAACGTCGCCAAGAGGTGCATCTCTTATATCGGCCGGTGTTAGCCGATACTCGCCGAACACAAATCTTCTAATAAATGAGAGCGTCAAGCAATCGTAAAAGATATGCTCAATGGTCTAATCTTCTTATTCGCACCCTCTGTATAGTGCGGATTCTGACAGCCCCATGATATGGAGATGTCTGTGACTAGGCGCAGATTCGGTCTAGTCATAGTCAAGTATTTGATTGCTGCAGTGTTGTCAGGATGACCAGGTCATCTGCATATGCTATTGTGTAGTGACTGTCATTATTCAGACGGCTGATGAGATTGTCGAGGACCATGTTCCACAGTAGAGGTGTAACACCCCTCCCTGAGGACATCTTCTCGCAACCAAGCCTCTTATATTCACATCTTCTACACCTACGTTTACTGCTCGCTTTGAGAGCATGTTATGTATCCACCCACTAACTATTTGTGGAACATTCCTGTTGGTTAGTGCGTTTATTATCTTGGGGAAGGTGGTTTTATCAAAAGCACCTTCTATGTCTATGAAAACACACAAGGCAGACTCCTTTTTGTCCAGGGATCTCTCTATCCGGCCAGCAACTAGATGAAGAGGTGAATCAGTGGATCTGCCTGTTAAACTGTTAACTTATCACTTAATATTAATATAATATTAATTCGTACAAAATATGTAGGTAGTAAGGTCGAGTTGTCTCTCAATGGGACATTTTAGGTACATTTTAAGATTTTTTTATTAAAAATTAAATTAATTAACCTAACCTGTGCGGCCTGGAGCCGTATAGGGTTGCTTCGTAAAAAAAAATGAAAAAATGAGAAAAATGAAAAACTTAACTAATCTTACTGATTGCTCTCGCACAGGTTATGTAATTTTGTCGATGTTTACTGCCCTCCGCTTCGCGTCGGGCAGTAAACTTCATCCTGCGGGAGGAAAAGTGGCACTTTCCTCCCTAGTAATACAAATAGCTATTATTTTGAATCCTGTCTTCTGAATTACCCGGACCGCATTACAAAGATGTATTGATGGCATCGCACAATTTTGAAGTGGGTCTTTTAAAATTACTTTTATTATTTGTGCTATAAAATATTGTACAACATAGAGTCTACAATAAAAAAATAATGTTAGTAAAACTACCTTGATAGTTGGGTAGTTATCACAATTATTGTCGAAATTACTTAGTTGGACATTTAATTGGTATACAAAAAATCAAGTTGTTTTTAAATGTGTATAATAAGGATTACTATTTATTATTGTTTTATTATTTTTATTCAATTATTGGTATTTTTTCAGAACAATAGTTTTGTATATTCTAGAAAAGTCTAAATAAAAATAATTTGCTTTAATATCTACATGCATTTCAATACTAGTAACAGATATAATTACCTCGTCCAGTTCTGCTTGATTAGTCACTTTGCTGGCTAATATCTCTAGAATAGAGAAATGTGAATTTACTGCTGGATACCTAAAAAAATATGAGTATATATTAGAAACTAAGTTTTAAATAGAAAAACAAAAAATTAAATGATAACATAAATTTTACCTCTCAATTTTTCAATGAGCAAATAATAAATTTGATGAGATATCTCGATATTTTTCCGTACATAAAATAGGTTCTTATGAAACTCAAAATCTTATCAACCTAATAAAAATGATACGCAGCATGACAGCATTTACTTTGCGACTATTTGTAACGCATTGTCACCTTCAGTCTATTCTGCGGTTGCACTTTGATGTGTGTTGTCGGAACCTTGTTTGGTCATAGAACCCTGCCCATATATGGTCAAAGTACTGTAATAAACTAAAAATTCATTCTTATTTTTAATTAACTGGATCAACCAGTGTTCTTAAAGTTCTCCGATTTTAAATTATTATTGTCCAAAATTCCCGATATTTGCAAATAATTATCGATTTTATGTTAAATCTCATGTTGCTGTGAACCTATCGCGTCCCCACTACCGTCCTCGAACATTTAAAATCGACGCGAAGGCCGGCAGAAGGTGGGTCAGTCAAAAATCGCGGAGATTCATTTAATTTTAGTTGTTTGCCACGAATATTTGATTTTAGAGATAGACAGTTTTAATTCCGAATAATTTCAAAATCACTAGCTCTCCATTGTATAATTTTCCGATAGGTAATTTGACTGTTCCTGTAGTTTTCATTCAGTAGTGTGGTCCGAAAACACTGTGAAACCAGCAGGAATTAGTTAAATTTTCGAGTTGTTTATAATTTCTTTTTATTCAATTATTTATTTGCAACCTTATCAGTATTTTGGAAGCAAATCTGGATTTTGTCTGTTAATTTAACAATTATTTAGACTCAATGTATATTAACCGAAACGAATTAAAAAAACCGAACAATATATGTCAAATTGAATCCTGGTTTTTCATTCCCTTGTAAATGTCTGTTTTCAGGTACTATATAACTACTAGAATATCGTTTACCCTCTGAAATTTTCTTTCTTTACTGCAGCTACCTGTAGCCCTTCTTGGAACTTGTTCCAACAGGTAAAGTGGAGCAAACCACTCTAAAACAAACTTGCCCGAGCACACCCAGTTCGAACGTCATTGAGAAAGCCTCTCACAAAATGGCTCCCGAGCAGGGACCAGATATTTTCTAGATAGGTTTTCGACCGCGTGATTACTAGATAGGTGTAGTTCCGTAAGCCGACGTACCCCGAATAAGTTTCTCTTTCCTTTGTTTTAAAAACCAGGGCAATCGCATCCTGTTTTAAATATCAGTTTTTCTATATTAATTTTCTTTTAAAATTCCGTGGGGCCTATTCTAAGTCCCAAGACCCCTAGTTTTTATACACCCGGATTCCGACAGAATATTTTCTCTCTTTCTGTTTTTCCGTTATCGCCCTTTACATAACCGCCCCGAAAACAAGTGAATGATACGCCAGTACCCGGAATAAAAAAACCAAAAAAAAAAAATAAGTAGAAAAGGAATAAGCCTACTCCAAAGTTTGGTTTAATTTTTTTTTTATTTTTTTTTTTTTTTGATAGATAGCCTTATAGCGAAAGTAAAAGTTGGAAAGGATTTTGGTAGGTAGAGAGGGGGTAAACGTCAAACCACGTCGAACGGCTTCGAGAATTTCGCACTAATGTTTACCTGCCAGTGTCGTTTCATAGAATAAGTAATTTTAAATTTTTATCGGCGGAACCGGACAATCGCATGTATTTATGGACTATAAATAATTATTAAACATGTATTATAATATTCAAATTCTAATTTTACAAAATTTCAACAGCTCTTCACAATTTATTAAACTATTTACTCAAAATTGTTATTAACATCTATAAAATAATTTTGTACGCCAATGTATTGCGTCCACTTCGGTGAGATCGGCCGCAAACCTGTCATTTTATGTATATAAAGCGGGAGAACTGGCAAAAGCCTTTCCAACATTTACTTCTGCTATACCCACCCAATTTTTTTCTCGATAATAATATTTTCACGGGTCTCATTCCTCCCTTGCTACTAAAACCCGCTCCGCGATCGGATCATCGTAAGTTTATGTCCGACCTAAACGACGACGAAGTCGCATCCGAAACTACGAGAAACAACGACTCTTCAGTCAACGTAGCCGCCGACAGTAACGATAACTCATCGAACCGAGCTGATTTGAGTAGAGAGACTCAAACCGAAACCGTACCGCCAGTCACCTGGGTATACACCTTGAAGAATCCCGAACTCACACTAGAGTTGGAGCAACGGCAACTAGCTACTGATGGCACAGTAAACGAAAAACGCAAAAGATTAGTGTCTGCCATAAGGAACGCCGACTTAGTGACCGACAGGTATCGGTAACTGGTATAGCCCGAGCTGAAACTATATTTTTGTTTCAAGGAACAGATTCTAGATGGCGCTGTACACAACAATTTACAGAAATCTACAATTGATGGTGGAAAGAGTGGGAGTGTCATTTGTCATTGTCAATTGTCAGGCATCCATTATCGATTACCTCGCGGTGAATGACATTTGCCATTTTACCTGTATTTTTTGTGATTATCAATATCATATTGTCAATAATTATAATTTGTTTGTATTTGGGTGTGCTCTGGATCCTGGATGAATAAATAGTAAGTATTTTGTAAATAATTGTTTATTGTATTGTCAACTTGGTCTTGTTCAATTGTGTTTTAAATGTTCAATTTGTTTACTTGATCTTGCTGACGATTGAGCTTATTTTAAATTTTTGTGGTCATTTTTAGTTATAAAAGCTGTAATATATCGTATTGTTGTATGCCAAATTGTTTTGTAAACACTCTGAAATCCTAATAACGATTTATTTCAAATTTGAGTATTGGGTGTTCGCAGTCCATTTTTCAAGAATAAAACAACAAATTTGTAAAAACTATTTAGTATGTGATAAACATTTTGAAGATATGTTTAAAGTTCTTGGTGCACGCAGCGATCGATCTAACTGTATTTTTATTTGTTCTAGTACAAACTTTTTCAAGCCGTTTGGAGTGGCAGTAGTATTGCATTGTTGAAGACAAAAACAGCCTAGTCAGGGAAGTAATAGTCACTGTACTTTTTGTATTCATGCCTCACATTTGATTTTTATATTGATTTAGTTCAGATTGTTTCTTTTACTGTTTTTGTATTTGTTCTAGTACAAACTTTCTTCAATCCGTTTGGAATGGCAATATTGGATTGTGGAAGACAAAATAGCATAGTCCGGGAAGTAATGGTCAGTATACCTTTTTTTATTTATGCCTCACTTTCTGTGCTCCCCAACAGATTTGAAGGGTTCAGGAAAAAAAGGGGCCTAGTCACAATTACCAAAATGTTCAGAAAACCAAATTTAATTTAGACTGACTAAATACAAACTTTTGATACTTTAAGGTAATTGGTTACAAAAAGATGTTACTTTGTTTAAATGTTGCCTGATTATATTGTAGTTTACCACTTAATTTACCAGACAGTTGTAATTTTTTATTCTAAATACTAAAAATGACAAACAAACAGTAGGAAAGTCCTTGGACATAATTTTAAATGCACTGTTTTGCATTTGCTAATACTGGTATTTTACAAAATAGGGCGGGCCAGTTCAATTTTGATAAAAATGTGGCTTAGCTCCTTTTTTCTTCCTGTACCCTTCTTGATTTATAAGTTGATTAATATTTATTTTTTGTTTTAGATAAAACTCTTCGACCTCTGTGGACAATGACTTAACTTTCCAGCTAATTAATACGCTACATTTAATTATTCTATTTTGTATGTTTTTTTTGTTTTAATAAATTAATTTTGTTGATCATGCTTTTTAATTTTTTGTAAAAATATTTCAACTTGTAGTCAAGTTAGGATTGGTTCATACTACTCATTTTTTGCTTTATTGTAACAAATATAATTTTATTGCTACAATAAACGTAAAAAAGGAGTTGGTATGAACAAATCTTAATTTGACCACCACTTTTAAACTAAATATTGAAGGACCATTTTGAATGTTCCCGCGTTTTGTGTTAACTAAAGTGACCGCGAGATGGCGCCACTTCCGCCAAATAGTTCAAAGAACGCACACCGGGTGTTACAAAACTGTCTCAAATTTTAACATTGCAGTTTCCATTCTAAAAGTAATTGTTCTGTGGTGACCGATTCGAACCTCGAGCAAATCGTGGCTACCGAAATCATGGCAACACTCGAACCGTTAAGAGTACAAGACTGGCGCGTGTCGTTTGGGAATCGAGGAGACGACCCTGCAGCCTTTTTAGAAAGGCTACTCGAGATTTTCATCTCAAAAGAAATCGATAAGGACCGCATGCTTCCGTGTTTAGCTGAGCTATTCACTTGATTAAAAACAACTTTTATTTGAACAATTTTCTTAAAAAATTGAGTTTTTTAATTTCGTAAAATATATCGAATACGGACCATTTTAGAAAAATTTAAGATAAGATAAAAATTATAGAGAATAATATAGGAAGTAACTTTTATTAAAATAATGTTCTTCTCCAAACATAAATAACAGATATAGTCCATAAAATATAAAAACAGTCCCCTATAAAGTATCCCCGCCAGATATTCTGACTTTTTCCAAAATCTAATCATTTGACCTCGGGCCGAAATAAAACTTAAGTTTAAAATTTAATGTTTTTTCCTCTCTCCGTTTTTGATTTTCTTTAAAATTCGAAATTTACACTATTTCTCAAACATCTCGAATACGGTCCATTTTAGATAAAAATAGATAAAAATTATAGAGATTTATATTACAAACAAATTTTATTTGAATGATTTTAATAAAAAATTATTTTTTTTACATTTTCTCAAATTTCTCGAATACGAATCATTTTAGGAAAATTTTGTAAAAAACACAAATTATAGATAATAATACTATAAGAATTTTTTATTTAAAGAATTTTCTTCTCCAAACTTAAATAACAAATATATTCGATAAAGTACAAAAATGACCACCCATGAAGTAACCCCCTAGAAATTTCGACTCTGCTCAAAATCTAAACAGTTCACTGGAGGCCGGAATAAAGCTTAAGTTTAAAGATGTAAGTTTTTCTTTTGATCCGTTCATGAGTTATCGAGGATACACACACACACACACACAAACACATACACAAACACACACACACACACAAACACATACACACAAACACACACACACAAACACACACACACACACAAACACACACACACAAACGCACGCACGCACGCAGAAATCATCGCGAAAAAATAATCAAAACGGATTCAGGGGACCCAAAAACGTAAAAATACGTCGAAAACTCGAGGTCGAAAAAAATCATGATTCCTATACTTTCCTTATCTGTATACAGATAGGAACGTAAAAAAGCTTTTCTCTAAGAATTATTAACAAATGAACAAATAATTCACCACATCTTTCCCCTTATTCACTAGGCGTGTCTGAAAATGACTTCGAAACCGGTCGCAATAAATATGTCATTGTAAAATCAGAAGGTCTTTTATTTTTATTCGTATTGTAAAGGATTACTCACTGTTCGGAAATTCTATCGTAGTTTTCTTTCAAAAAGCTTCTTGCCACCTCAATTCCATAGGGGTTCTTTAGAACATAAACAAAAACACTTAACTTATCCTGTGCTCTAATGGATTCCGTCAGAGATGCTTCCAGTAATCTACAAAAATAGTAATTAACAATATACAGATAATTCAGTCAATTAACTTTTGATAGGGACTGTAGAAGACATGGAAGAGGAGAATTTTTTTAAGGATTTGCTTGTAGTAATTAATAATAATAATAATAATAATAATACTCTCCCTAATTCACCCCCTTACGAGTGAATTTTAACCCCAAAAGCTGAGCTTGTCCGGGGAAAGGGACGGCTATTATTATTATTTGCCGTGGCGCTCCGGGGCGACTTAAAGATGATTGATGGTGCCATTTGACTTACAGGTGAGGAAAACCCGGAAAACCTCACCCACCATCATCGAGACGGTAATGTATGGCGAATTTTTTTAATCTGCATGTCATATCAACAGAAATTGAATTTCTATTAATACGCCACACATCAAATCCTAAACCGAACCATGCAATTTAATTAAAAATCCACATGGTCTGGTCTGGGATTCGAAACCCAGCAGTCTCAGACTCATAAACTTGCCTATAAATGAATATAAGCGCGATAGACCGCTACACCACCGTGGTGGTAAAAATACTAAACGGGTCTTGTATAAAAAGAGTGCCCGCGATAGTTAATGAAGATAACGACACAGAGGAAATTAAAATCCCTACCTACATCCCAAGCGGACCCAGAATGTAATTTGAAAAATATAGATGAAAATGAGTGGAAGCTACCTCAAGAACCAAAAGCTGAACCCTCGCCCCAAAAGAGAGTAAAAATATATGAAATCGTGTTTTAATAGGTTTTTAAAAATTAGGAATACAATTTTTATATTTTTTAGTACAACAAAATTTTTCTTTTTTTTATTATCATATCCCCTTATAAAAATAAACAAATATTGAGGATATATGCAGATGAATTAGTCACTTTTGAAACTTAACAGACTTAAAAATTCACTAGTTCAAAATCAGTGTAAAGTATAACCGAGTTTCTCTAAATAAATTCAAAAGAAAATACTCACTCTCTAAGATGTGTCTCATTCTTAGTACAGGCTAAAGATGAAAGCAACAAAGCTTGTTCTGACGACAACAATGCAAGCGTGTATTTTTCCCACAGGAATCTCCAATCTGTATCATTAGTACTTTCTCTTAAAGCGGTACAGTAAATTATTTTTCTTAGATTTTGATTTGGCCTAAAAAATAAGTTAGATCAAGAGCAAGATCGATGGAGAGAGGAAGGAGAAAAAGGGTTTTTGATTTGGCGGTTTTAATTTTAAATTGTTAAAATGTAAGTGCTTAGGGGTATCCTGTTTTTACAATTTCTATATCGAGGGTATAGTTTATTTTAAAGCGAATGGTAGCAAAATTTGTATTACTCAGGAGATAAACCCCAATATAACATCATAAATCAGTGCCGATTAAATTATAAATTAAAATGTTTAGAATTATTTGTTCCAAAATAAAATCTTTGGTTTTCTTCCTAAAATTTGCAAAAATACCAATTTGTTTCAATTCTTTTCTTAGATTTTCTAGTAATTTTAATCAACAAAAATAAGGTATGTAATCTCTACAGGTGGAAAATATTTACAATTCAAGATCAATTTAAGTAGCCCTCAACTTTCTTTGAAAAGATTAAAATTTCCAATCGGCAGAACACTACATTAGTATTGGGAAATTTATTGATTTACAAACATTATTATAATAAATACAATCCTAAAATGTCGTGCCTTCCGATGAAGAATCAGTAGACAAACCTTCTGTTACTGACCCACCAACAGCATCCAGGGATGTTAAAAATAGAAAGCAACGAAAAATGCAATGAAAAAAAGTGGAGGAGAAGTGTTGCCAAGAAAAAACGATGTGCCGGGGAAGAGTATACAACCAGATCCATTAGAGTTGTTCCTGCAAATACTTTCAGTCCATGTGTATGCGGTTGTAAACATCACTGTAACAATTTAATTCCTGAGGAACGTCAAAGAGCTTTGCATCATTGAAAAACTGCACAACTGTTTTCCTTAATCAAAGTTGAAAATAAATTGCGCACATACACTGGAAATCTACAGAGCAGCAGGAACAAGACGAGAATTTTCCTACTAACAGACGAAAATGGTGCAGAGCAAATTCTGAAAAAAAATGTTCAAGCTGTATATCAGAATTTTGTTTTTTAAAGTTTTTTCGATAAATATTATTGTGGTAAATAGACCGTGAAGAGAATATGTTTTGGCTTATTGTATATACTACTCTACAGTTCAGAAATATTTTAATAAATATGGTAGCCTTAGATTTCTCTTGATGTTTTTATTCTTTTTAGGTTTCAGCTGGGAGAATCGACAAAATCTTAAGGTACAAGTCAGAGGGAGTACTTGCGCCTCAGGACCATCGGGGAAAACATATTCCAAGTAATAAGACACCCGTTGCGAAAGAAAACGAAGTAAGTCCTTTATTGAAAAATGTCCATGTTACGAGTTCCATTATTCACGTGAGAAAAGTAATTATAGAAAAAATCTAGCACCGGACTGGAGCATAGGAAAGATGTTTGAGCTGTATGAAGCTGAAACAATGGATCCTGTTTCATATGCTATTTTCAGAAGAATCTTTAATACACAGTTCAACTTACACTTTCATGCATAAAGTGTGTCTTCTTCAATGTAGAAATAAAGGCATCAAATGAAGAGCAGAAAAAACAACTTGAAGTAGATCTAGAACTCCATCAAAAGGAAGGCAAATGCAGCAAGGGATGGCCTGAAACATAATATTTGTTATTATAATAGGCAATTGTGGACTTATTGTTTCAACGTCCATGACATGCTATTTATATCTGGGACCAATCCGTCGCATCTCTAAGAGATCGGTTCCTGTCTGTTGAATTACATTAAGAATTTCCAAAAAATAGGAAAATTAATTACGTATTCGGATCAGTGTCGGGGCCAGAACCGTAATATAAAACTGTCGCTGCTCTGTAATTTCATTACGGCATCTCTAGATTTTATTGTGGATGAAATTGATCATAAATTCCTGGTGAGTGGCCATTCCTATCTCCCTTGTGATAAAGATTTTGGTCTTATTGAGAATGACAAAAAATTTCACCCACACATTTTTGTACCTTCAGCTTAGATTTTGGTCATAGAAAATGCTAGGAAGATAAATTCGTTTAAGGTAATTCAAATGACAACATCTGACTTTGTGTCGACTAAACTATTGGAAAGTAACGTTAAGAACAGAAAACTATCGGAGTCAAAAACAAAGGTGGAATGCCTGAAAATCCAATGGTTACGGTTTAACAAATAATCTCCTGATAAAATTCAATATAAATATTCGAACAACGAAGATATTCCTTTTAAAACTGTCGATATACGTAAATGAGGATCACGTTCGACAGAACTTATTATACTTCCACTACTGTACCCCAAGGGTAATGTAATCAATGAGACCAAAAAGAAAGATTGGCTTCAACTGATTGAATTTATTCCACCCGTACATCATGACTTCTACAGAAACATTAAAGCATCGGTCCAGGCGTCAGGTGGGGAGTTACTTGACGATAAAAATTAATGTAGGTATTTTAGGTTACAATAATTTTAGTTTATACTTTTTTTTGTTATTTTCGCAAATTTTTTCTGCAGTAACAATATAAATGCAAAACATTTTACATTTTACTACTATTATTCTAAAAACAAAATCAAAATCATACACAACAGTGTGAACTAATCAACACAATCATCAAATAGCAAACTGGAGTAATCCACATTAAAATTTAAGATTAAAATCATAACTTTATTATGTTAACATTTTTAGTTATATTATGTCACTTTTTATATGTTAAGGAAAATTGGAACCAAAATATCTATAAATAAAAATATTAAGTGTTGGTACATTTTTAAAAAAATTTAAAGCCAATTATCTCTCATTGTGCCAATTAGGGTTAGTCCACTTAGCTTTTTATAGCCTCATATAACCATCCCGTATTTCCAAAAACTAAATACGAGTGTTTTATGAGAAAAGATTTTTGGCAAATATTTTTTTTAGTATATCATATAAATTTTAAAGAAATGTCCTAACCTAGTATACTATTTAAAAAAAATATGTATAGCTACTTAATATTTACAGTTTACTTCTTTTTATATTAATTTTGTGTTCCCCGTCACTATGGTATAGAATTATTGGTTAATACCTTAAAGTTTGCTCATTTACATTTTATGATGTATTGTATTCGAGCTTTTTCGAGGTAGTCATAATAAAATCTAATGAAAATTCAGATAAGAAGGTATTAATATTTACTTTTTTCTGCTTTGAACAATCCTGTGCCATAAAAACTGTGCTATCATATATTTTTAAATAAACTATAGTTATGGGTAAAATACTTTACCGACTTTTCTTTTAGAATTTTGGTAATGACATTTCATTGCGTGATTAAAAAAAATAATCTTAGACCACTGTTTTCGCAATTAGCTTTAAATACTAAGAGTTCTATAAATTGAAGCTGTGAAAACAAGTTATTTTGGCTTAATGCAAATAAAGGCGATTTTCAGTATTTAACACGAAGTTTCTTATAAATATAATTATGTTTTAATAAAAATGATAAATTTTTACTAACTTCACAAAAGTTTCTCTATATCTTGCGAAAGATTCCGTTGCCTTTTGAACGCAATCTTTGTTACCCAAATTGCAAGCAAAAGTTAATGCGTCAGTTTGCTTCAAACTGTATATCTGATCATCTGGTTCTATTCTGTCGAATGGAGTAGAGTCATAAAGAGCTGCTATATTGGTGAGAAGATGTGTCTAAAAATATTTAAAAATGAATTATTCATCATGTTTATTTTGACATTATGAAAATAGAGAATAATTATTATTCACTGAGACTGAAAACTAGCTGCCGCAAGGTGATACGATCGTACCTTCAACTGGAATTTTGTGAAGTGATTGGTGTCATCTGCAAGGAATTAATTTAGAACCCCTGGAAAGAAGACGTAAGACAACTCAAAGTTGTAAAAAATATCGGCTAAAAATTTACATTTCACCTCTTTGAAGGTCACAGATGCAAAAAGTCAGATGGCCACTACTAAAGGGCTGTCAGCCGCCCTCAAATTTGTAAATTTTGTTGATTTTTTTTCTGTAACTTTCATACCTGCGTCATGTTAGCAAGTAGCCAGCCAGCAATAAATTCAGGTGGACGCCAAAGCGCCAGCGCTCATACTAAATTTTTAACATCTAATTTTTTTAAATTTCGACATAAAGAATATATTAAATCATAACTTGTTGCATTATAATTATTATTACCCTTTCATAAAACTATAATAAGGGATGTAGAGAGGGCTAAAGCTTTTATCACTAGCACAAAATTTGTGTTTTTCAAAAATTTATTTAGGTCATTGGATAATAGATAATAAAAAACAAAAAACTTTTTCAAATACCATTTTAAATGATATATGGGTAATAAGAGATTTTTAGAGAGCTTTGAGTTTTTATTGCTGAACCAAAATTTGTTTTTTTTTTTGAAAATTCATTTAGGCCATTCGAAAGATAATAAAAAACAAACAACTTTTTTAAATACCATTTTAAAAGCTTTATGGGTAATAAGAGATTTAGAGAGCTTTCAAAGTTTTTATTGCTGAAACAAAATTTGTTTTTTTTTGAAAACTCATTTGGGCCATTGGAAACATAATAAAAAAAACAAACAACTTTTTTAAATACCATTTTAAATGCTATATGGGTAATAAGAGATTTAGAGAGCTTTCAAAGTTTTTATTGCTGAACCAAAAATTTTTTTTTTTTTTTAAAGGGCTCAACTTTTAACTGACATCTTTTTACGATAAAAAGAAACTTTTAAGTCTGTTTGCAATTTTTTTGTTTTTTAATCACCCTAAGTGTTGCCTATATCTATGTTTATTATGAAAAACGGAGTTGATATTCAACAAAAAACATCAAACTACGTAAAAAAAATCTAAATGTAAATTATGTAATAAAAAGAAATATTATTATGTTATATCTAATTTAAATTAGGTGAGCAACAAAGCAACAAATCCGCTCGGCGAGCAACAAAACTGTCACTTAATGTCAGTTCGTGGAAAACGACAACTTGCGGTTTTATTTTGAAGCGCAAAAGCCTACTTTAGATAGAGATCGTAGAATAATAATATTTAAATTTAATCTAAAGGGTGTCCCAACAAGAACTTGAATTTTTAATGACAAAGAAAACACAGTAATTAACGAAAATTATACAAATATTTTATTGGATTTTCAAGAGAAAATATTGACATTAAACCTGAAACAAAATATCTGTCAAATGGCCACCGCGACTCCGTTGACAGGTGCATATTCGCTTAACGAAATTTTGGAAGACGTTTTCGAGCAAAATCGGCTGGATTTCACGAATATTACGTACGATTTCTTCCTTCAGTTGTCGAATCGTCTCAGGATAGTTCCTATATAGTCTACTTTTTAAATACCCCCAAAGGAAATAGTCTAAGAGCGTCAAATCGCAACTTCTCGGCGGCCAGTTTTGGTCTCCAAATCGTGAGATGACACGACCTGTGAAGTTTGTTTGCAGTAACGCCATTATTTCACGTGAGGTGTGGCAGGTCGCGTCGTCCTGTTGAAACCACAAGTTATTTATGTCCACTCCATTCACTTCCAGCCAAAGAAAGTCTCTTAGCATGCTATGGTAGCGATTACCATTTACAGACATCTGCATTACTTTGAAAAAAATAAAGTTTGATGATCCCTCCTGCCCAAATAGCGTACCAAACTGTCACTTTTTCAGGATACATTGGAAGCTCGTGCACGGCATGTGGACGCTCTTCCCACCAAATCCAACAGTTCTGTTTATTCATAAAGCCGTTCAAATGGAAGTGCGCTAAAGATAATTTCGTTGTGGAATGCATCGTCAACTCCGTGTTGTTCCAATATCCAATTCGCAAAGTTTCTGCGCTGTCTTTCAATGCAAATGTTCGCTCAAATTTGTTGATCAAATTTTCAATAGCGGGTCGCGACGGACGATTATGTACACCGAAATGTTCACGTAACCTGCGCATTGTCACTATAAAATTTCCTCCATTTCTGTAATGGGTCTTCACAATTAATAAACGTTCTTCAAGAGTGTAACGCGGCATTTTCGTTAATGTCAATGTCTTGACAGAACACATGCCTGATATGGCTCACTTGATGTTTGACAGATGGAAATGGTACGCCATTTAAAATTCAAGTTCTTATTGGGACACCCCACATACTTTGATTTTCTTTTACTATACGGAGAATGGTCGCACTGCGCAGCTTTCTGAGTGCTATTTTGAACCCTTATTACGTGTTGGCTACATCTTGGCGCAATATTTTTAATAGATGCGTTTTAATCATCCGCTTCTGCTTCGGAATTGTCGGTTTTCTTGTTTTAATCTGACAGGTTAAACGACTAAACCGACAATTCCGGAAGCAGAAGCGGATGATTAAAACGCACCTGATATTTTGCTTGCTGCTGTCAGTGTCAGTGAATATTATTTTTGAAGTCACAGTTTATTGCTTAAGAATCAGTTAGCTCACTCGGACCAGTTGAAAGTTCCAAAATAACATCCACTCCAGGTATACAAATTCAGGATACGCAGAAGACTGCTGTTTGAATATAGGCGGTTGTCATAATTGTATTATTCGAGTGGCGCAGTGTATAAACTAAAACATTGAGATCAAAAGTGCCGACGCAGAGTGAGCGATCTGATTCTTTATCTATAAACTGTTGCATAGGGTTCAAAATGGCCGCGCTCTATGTTGGGCGTGTTGGACCTCTCTCTTGCGCCGTATAGTAAAGAAAATCAAAGTATGTGGGGACACCCTTTATTATTAATGATTTTATGTATACATCGTATGTCGCAATCTCTTAGATATACCAACCTTCCCACCGACAGCTCGTTTGTTTGGAATGCCTAATAGAGCTTGCCTTTTCCTGAAAATTTTAAGTTGTTATCGTTTTTCGTTTTGTATTTATGATTTTTTTTTAATTTCAGTCCCCCTTAGTCCCCATTTTAATTCATATTTTTTTTAAAACACCCTAAAAAAATGTCACAACTACCCCTGAAAACAGTCTATCATTTTGGGGGCTGTGGGCTAAAGTCAATCAACTGTTTTAGAAAAAATGGTCAACAGAGTATTTAAATAGACTGCAAAATAGGCCCAACTGGCTTAAACCCCTTGAAAATTTAAAGCTCAACGATATAGTTTTGATAAAAGAGGATAACACCCCACCTTTAAAATGGCCTTTAGCGCGAATTGTGGAAACTATGCCAAGTAAAGATGGTAAAGTGCGAGTAAAGGTAAAGGCTGCTGGCGTCCCATTACTAAAATATGCTCCCTGGTGTTTGATAAATAGGTTATGTTTGTTCATAATAAAATTGCAGTTAGGGACAGTATGTTCATACTTTTTATTTTCACTACATTGTAGTTTACCACGAAAGGTAAACACAATATAGTGAGCTATATAAAGAGTTGGAGAACGACCAAATAATGGTAATGCCTTCAGAAGAAATGCTCCAAAAGTTCAGCTATCAAAAGCAATATAAAGTAAGTATACCAGACAGGGAAGCTTGGATAGCAAGACCTCCAAATTACGCAGAATTCACATGTTATACAGACGGCTACAAAACATCCGAACAAGATAAAGTACTCTTAACAAAGTTAAAGGATATCCACAATAGATCTAAAAAGTTTGAAGTGGGGAAGGTTACATATAGCCCACAGTCCTAATTAAATCTAATCTAACGGTTAGTTATATTATAAAAAAGATATGTATTTAAATTAAATAAACAATAATACGTATTTCTTTATTTTTTCATATTTTTTCCAAATTAGGAAATAAAAAAAATATTGCTCTATTCAGTAATTAAATCCCGGTCGCAAAATACAAAGTTAAATAGGTACATGTTGAAGGCTTAATGTGGCTTAACTATATGAGCCATGGAGACTTATTAAGTTATCTAATCACATATGTGTAGTAGCTAGAAACGAACGATTCGATCTACTTAATACTTAGTGTCTTATTTTATAAACTGTACGGACATGAAATTCATGAGGAAAATTGAAAATAAAAACTAAAATAGGAGTCAGACAGACAACTTCGACATAAAGAAATGGATAAAGTATAATTAACACCTGAAAGGCTACAAGGAGGATAAAAAGATAAAGAACAAGGAGACTTACTCATTTATGTGTTTGAGGAAACATATTTATAATTATTAATTTTCAGTAAATTCTTCTTGATTAAATAAGTTTCTTTTTAAAAGTCAGTCAAAAAGTATTCCTAATTATAGCTTTATACCTACCGATATATATCGATCCAAATCAGGTGTCAATCTAACTCTGTCAAGTAAGTAACTAAATCCCGTAAAAGCAGGAGTCCAAGAGATATAAGAAACATCATGTTTCAAAAAGTCCAAAAGCTGAAATACTCTTGAGTATGGAATGGCATCCAATTTAGCCAAACTGAACAAATCGTCAACTATTCCTGCTCTGTTCAATTCGTCAATGTTACTGAAATTATCTTCTTTCAAAGCCATTTCAATTGCATTCCAAGTATTGGAATCGTAGTTCACCCTGTAGTAGCCTAAAATCGAGTCATTTAATTATATTGAAATCAAATCGCTTTTCTTATTTTTTATCGATTAACCACGAAGGTAAAACATAAAAAAGAATAGTCATATAGGATGGTTCTCTATTAAACAAATTATTATTTATTTACGCTAAGTATTTAAAAAATGATTTAAAAAATCATTATGGGCCGTAAAAGGACCGGTTTTATGCGGCCTGAAACAGACTGGTTAAAGCTAATTTTCTATTATATAAGCAAACTGATATTAACTATGATTGTACAGGTCCAGGGTACACTGGGAATTCACAAGTCACAGGATCTTTTTTCCAGACAGTCCTCCTATGAATAGACATCAAGTAATTTTAAAAGCCGACTTCAAAATCGTGCAGACGCCGTCACCACATTTTAACCAAATTTAGATGGGACCACTCTTCAGGTATCCTCTTACTAACAAAAAAAGAATCATAGAAATCGGATAAGGTTGTAAAGAATTCTCGCTAAACATAAAAAATGAAGAGTTTGAAGATTTTTCTCATTGACCCAATTATTAGATTTTGACCGAATTTATATGGGACCACCTCTGAGTTACCCCCTTACTAACAAAAAAAAGAATAATAGAAATTGGACAAGGTGATAAAGAATTACTGCTAAACATATATTAATAATAAAGAGTTTGAGAATTTTCTAATAGACCCAATGATTAGATTTTGACCAAGTACTCCCTTGTCAAGTTTGCTTGTTGACGGACAAGCCGACGAGCCGCCACTGTTAACTATGTTACTATAGAAATAAGTTAAATGTAATGTCAAAGAATACCTACCCAAGAAGCGAAACTAAATGGGCGATTCGTGGACAAAAAACTGCCAAGTTTTCTCAGTGTTTTAGAGGTAGTTTAACGTCAAATATGCTGTCAATGTATGTAGAGCAACGTTTGGTATATTAATATTAGCGTTTTGTGAAAATTGCAGTATAGTTAAGTAGTTGTATTTAACTAAGTAGTAATTAGAAATTAGATAGTTTTAAAATTTGTATTTCATGTTCATAAATTTTATTGAACGTTCTTGCATCTAACTATAATTTTATTTTTAATTCTAAATCAGTAAAAAGTACCTATAATGATATTTACGCCCACGTTTAATTATTTAGTCTTTTGTTTAAATATGTTATTTTTTGTTTTTCAAACCAATCAATTTAAAAGAGTAAATAAACAGTAATACGAAACAATAATTAAAATATATGACAGTACTTCTGGATATGCAACGTGTGGCGGGTGGATTATCCCCACGGCACATAGGTCTAACTAGGCCCATTGTGTATCCTCCTAAGATGATAGGCATCTCCAGCTTGTGAGCCAGCCTACAGCTTTAATGTAGTTGACAACGTCGCCGAGAGGTGCTTCTCTTATATCGGCAGGTGTTAGCCAATACTCGCCGAAAACAAATCTTCTAATAAATGAGAGCGACGAGCAATCGTAGAGGATATGCTCAATGATCTCATTTTTTTGGTCGCACATCCTGCAGGGTGAGGATTCTGGCAGCCCCACGAAAGGAAGATGCTTCCGTACTTGGCAATGACCAGTAAGAATAGCTGTGATGAGACGCAGATTCTGTCTAGTCATAGTCAAGTATTTGTTTGTTGTAGTGTTGCCAGGATAACTTAAAAGCTCCCTGGTAACTCTGCAGTTTCTTGTTTCATTCCATCTTTTCTTCAATTTCACAAGAGAATATTCTTTAATTAGGTCTGTCACTACCGATGTTGTCAGTCCAATAGAAGGGCAAGGCCTAAAAAGTATTTGGTTGGCCGCCTTCTTGGGAAGTGAATCAGCAAGAAGACTACCTTTGGATGTGGCGTCACTTTTGATCCATCTTAAGGTGACTACTTTGTTGGACGGATATTCTTTCAAAAGCTGCATGACATTCTAGTACTAACCCTGAGTAAGTTCGTGGTCTGTTCAGGACAAATAGTGCTTATCTGCTATCTGTATAGATAAGCATGTTTCTACCAGTGATATTGTTTCTGGTGATTTATTTGCTGCTATGAGAACATCCGTGAGCTCGGTTTGAACTTCATTGGCACTATTGTCCACAGCCCATTTTATATTAAGGTTTAAGGAATTGGATTATATTCAACATCCTGAGCATTGTTTGGTTTTAGAACCATCGGTGTAGATATGAATCGTACCTGCCACTCTCGGCTCTTCAATTTGTTGTTGTATCTTCATATGGCTTATCGAAGATATATCTCGGTGAGATGAGCTGAGTATATCGAGCGCTTTTTGACAAAAGCGACGTCTCGCCTCACTAGATCGTACATCAGGTTCTATTTCAACCGTGAAGAGGTGTGTCATTGTCTTCAGAGTAACCTTCTTGATATAATTATCAAGGGGATTCTTGATATAATTATCAAGGGGAGTGAGACTAAGAATAACTTCCATGGCTCTGGTTAATGTGGTTTTCATGGCTCCTGTTATGTTGAGACATGCATTTATTTGAATTTGTTCTATTTTGGATATTCGGTACTCAGACAACTGCACCGTGTGTTAGCATAGGTCTTATGATGGCCATGTAAGTCCATGTGACGACTCTGGGGGAGAAACCTCAGGGGCACCTTTCGGTTCGGCGGCATTGTTCTTAAGTAATGTATGCTCTTTTGACGCTGTTTTCTAAGTATGTTTACTTGTTGTCAAAGGTGCTACCTAGGTACTTCACCTCTGCTGCAAAATTTTGTTTTGTGTTTAGGAGTTCTGTAGGTTTTAATTCAATTTTCATCCATTTCATTGTGAGAAAGATATTTCTGTGTGTTCTTGGTATTAATAAACAGTAAATGGTCCTTGCACCACTGTTCCATAATTGTTCTCAAAATTCCCTATTTGCAGAATGACCAGGTCATCTGGTTTCGCTATTGTGTAGTGACTGTCATTATTGTACCTACAGTACTTATTTCTTATTGAAATATTCTATTTGACATAATGAACATAGTAAGAATTTTCTATCATTGTTATTTTAGTATGTCTTTAATTCTTATGAACCAAACGACAAAAATTGATTAATTTTCATATGTTTCCCAGTGTATTAAGTTCCCTTGCTTTGATACATACGAAAACTAATTCAGTTTCGCTTCTTGGGTAGGTATTCTTTGGTAATGTTAATTATGAATTAATGTCAATACATATTGTCACGCTTTCCTCTGAATTTACTTCTTTAAAAGTAACCAGCGCCCTTGACGCGCAACCAAGAGGTCCTTCGAGGTGTGAGCATTAAAACAGGCGGAAAAAACAGAAGTCATTAGCATAGATAGAAGAGGCGAAGCACCAGGGTGACTGAATGAGATTATTTAAAGGAAAATTTCAAAAAATCCACGAACTTCGGGGTTTTTAACAGTTGACGAGTTAAACTTAACCTTTAATAGGCTTATCAGATTGTCACAAGCACAAATGTTTTCAGTAGAGGTACATAGGCTAAACCAGAAGAAATCTTTGAATCGTAATAGTAAAATTTTGAGTTTAAATCCATTTTTAGACGAAAACAATTTATTGCATATAGGTGCACGTTTACAAAATTCATTTTATTTATTTGACAAAAAACATCCTATCTTACTATTATCCAATCATCATTTAAGAAAATTAATTTTCATTTATGAACATACCAGACTACTACATGCAGGCCCACAATTATACTCTGCACATATAAAGGAGAAATTTTGGGTTGTACGTGGTAATAACTTAGCCAGACCCATTTATCGCCAGTGCGTAAAATGCGCTAAAATAAACGCGAGGTCTATGGGTTCTTCACCAACACCCAGAATAACGCCAAATCTACCTTTTACAATATACGGTGTTGATTACGCTGAGCCGTTTCTGTTAAAGGACCAGGGTCGAGGTGCAAAAACTTATAAATGTTGGATTTGTTTATTTGTATGCCTTAGTTCAAAAGCCGTACATTTAGAAATAGTATCTTCCTTCAGTACTAATGCCTTTATTCAATGCTATCATCATCTGAATTAGGGCGTGGTTCAAAGCCCACTTGTACTGAAGCTCTAGGCTTATTGTACCCCTCACAGTTTCTATCCCATCAGATTGATTTTCTTGATGAATTCAAGAATATGTCTGATGGGCGCTTTCGCGATTTCTTCAGGTTCCGGATATTCTACCCCGAAGTACCATTCCCGTTCCCATTTAAGGTTCCGGCAGTGGCATAGTATGTGAATAGGAGTTTCGTCCTCCTCTTCACATATTCTACATAGGTAGTCATCAGATATCCCTAAGAGATTTAGGTGTCTTCTAAGGCCGCAGTGTCCCGTAAGGAGTCCTATTACGGCCTTGAGTTCGCTTCTGCTAAGGTTTAGCAGTTGATGTTGTCTGCTCGTGGATGGCCCCTCTATGAATCTTTTGGAATGTCTAAGTCCAGGAAGTTTCATCCAGAGCCTATGGTGTTCTCTTTTTATTTGTTCCTTTAACACCCATTTAACATGTTGGTATGAGATACCACATGTGGGTTCTGGTCCAATAAGAGTTTTTCCGCTCCCTTCCTTACTAGGAGGTCTATTTTCTCGTTTCCAAACACTCCCTCATGTCCTGGCACCCATTCAAGGGTAACCTTGTTATGTTCTGCCAGAGCCTGGAGGGATTGTTGGCAATCAAATATTGATTTAGATTGTACTTCTACCCTTTTTAGTGCTTTAAGGGCTGCCTGACTGTCTGTCATGATAACAATTCTCTTATCTCTAAGAGAGTCATTTAGCATGACTTTGGTGCAGGCATTTATTGCTGTTACTTTAGCCTGGAAGACTGTTGTCAGTGACCCCAGGTTCAAACTAATTGTCCTCCCTGAGTTCACATGGTAGATCCCAGCTCCTGTGCTGTTTTTCATTTTCGAACCGTCTGTATACCAGATTGATTCGTTTTGTTTTTCCCTTTTTTCCCGGCTTTCGGCCCTTTCTGGTATTTGAATATCAAAAGGTTTCCTGAAGTCGTGAATAATGGGCGTTCTATCAGATGGCATTCTTAGTACCGGATTTTGTTTTAATTTCTCTAATATCATTGTGTGGTGTCCTTTTCTCAAAAGTTCCCATCCAAATCTATTAGTAAACAGCCTGTATGCCACCGCCATAGCCTCCTTCTCCACCACAAGGTGTATTAGGAAGACCTAGCAGTAGCTCCATTGCTGCTGTGGGCGTAGTTCTAAATGTCCCTGTTATTATTAGGCAGGCTAGTCTTTGTACCTTGTCTAATTTTCTATTAGCTGTTATGCTTTTAGTCTTGTGCCACCATATGACTGATGAGTAAGTTATAACAGGTACTACAACCATAGTGTAAAGCCAGTCTGAATTGTACACCTTTTAATTAGAAAATTCTGCAACTATTTGTGGTTCAGTATCAAACTTAAACATTAAATTTCATTTCATTATGGTAAATAGCCCAAATTTTGGGAGATTATGGGAAGCAGGTGTGCGCAATGTCAAACATCATTTACGTAGAGTAGTTGGTTAATGTTTATTAAACTCTGAAGATTTTTACACATTCTTAGTACAAATCGAATCTGTATTACGAGTAAATTCCCGTCCCCTATCTCCACTCTGTTCCGGACCTTCAGACCTCTCCGCTTTGACGCCAGCTCATTTTTTTAATTGGGAGATCACTCCATGCTATCCCAGAGACCGACCCGAAGGGAATTCCTGATAATCGGCTGAGTTTGTATCAGCACATAAAGAAAATGCAGCAACATTTTTGGGATAGATGGAGCAAGGAATATATCAGTCAATTACAAACTCGCTTCAAATGAAAAACTAAGAATGGCCAAGTCTTGCAAGTAGGACAACTTGTGGTTATAAAAGAAGACAACATGCCTGTGGTGTCTTGGTCGTGTTACTGAGCTTAAATTTGAAACCAATCGCATCTCTCGAATTGCCATTGTCAAGACTGCAAAGGGTGTCACCAAAAGAGCCATTTCCAGAATATGTCCACTGCCTGTATTTTCAATTGAAAGTTAAAGACTTTCAAGGCCAGGAGTATGTCAAGTTTGTCTGTTGGTGGACGAACGGCTACTGTTACTATCGTGGTTATGATGGACAAAAATAATGTTATTTTTAACAGACACGTTATTTGAGAACAGCTTGTTATTTCTGTATGTTTATAAAATAACATCTGTTAAAAATAACACAGGTTGTCAATCATAACCCCCTTATGTTACTATAGAAATAAGTTGAATGTAATATTAATTATGAATTAATGTCAATACGTATTGTCACCTATTATATAAAATGAACGGTTTCCTCTGAATTCACTTCTTTAAAGGTATTTATATTTATAAAATGATAGTTGTTGATAAGTTTCTTGTTTGAGAGATTGCACAATTCAGTTTTTGAAGCGTTGAAAAACAAGTGTTTCATTTAGAGTTTGTCGGATTTCAGGCTTAATGGACTTAATGTTAATCGTCTGCAATATGTAGATAGAGTTATAAGTAGCTGAATTTAGGTCAATCATAATGTAATATGAATAGTGTTTAAGTCAAATCTGAGCCTCGAAATTCTCCTACATTGATTTTGTTATAGAACCAAGAGGAGCAGTAATCAACAGCGTTGTTACTGAGTGTCACATAATCGTGGGCTTTAAATGGATTGTACCGTGTTTATCATTGGTTTCCTGAGATAAAAGTGAAATCTTTATTATACTTATTTCCCTACTCATCCCTCGCGTAGGGATATCACCTACACAAAATTATGCATTTTAATCTCAAATAATGCTAAACAATTTGTATGGTTTTCAGTTTACCATATTTTTAAAAACTACTAAAATCAATTAAAATTAAGACTCACCAGTTTGAAGATTGTTTAAAATAATCCATTGGGCATTTTGGGATATTTTAAATTTTAGATCAACACCTGGTATTAACCATTCTTGTGGTTTTGTCGATTGGAATTTATTTGCTTCCACCGAGGTTGTATAACTAATTGGAACATACCATTGCGTTGGTGAACTCTTGGCCGTAAATTGTTTCTAAAAACGAAATACTAAATCAATAAATATAATCTTTTTTAAAACGGAATTTTCACGACTATGAAGACTAGAGATAAGGAGGCGAATCGGCATACTTTAAAACGCGGTCTCAAAAAACGCATGCTAATTAAGCTTTTATAATTAACCGCATGGGCGCTAGTACTGTATACGGTGTTCAAAATACATGGCTTTTTATGGGAATTATAAGTGGGGCAAAATGATCCCCGCGGGTTCAAACGATCCCCCGATTTCTAGCGAACCTAGCAGCTCCATCTGTCAACCGAAGACTAAAAACAGTGCTACGCGAGAAATCTAGTGATCGCTGATGCTTTAAAACACGTATTAGTTGCATTCCGTACTGTGACGAGGAAACATTGTTTTTTTGTTCTTTTGATCTAAGGTAAGGTATATCTTGCAGTGAATATTTTTAATAAATGTAAAGTTTTCTTAAATCTTCTAGGTGTAATTTATCATGTCCTGATATAACCAAATTTAATCATAGATAGTTCTTTTGTCAGTCGTTTTATGGAAATAGTATTTTAGGTTATGTGTTAAAAGTACAGTTCGGGGTAAAATGATCCCACCTATGCGGGGTAAAATGATCCCGGGATCGTTCTGCCCCGATAAGTTAATTTTTAGGCTGCTATTTACAACAACGGTAGATTATGCTCTAAATGTGGCAAATATAGGCCCTACGCGGCCCCTTTTTGTCATTTTTAGTATAAGAGAGTAGGTTTTATGCAGTTTTTACTATCATATTTTATTTATATATTTTTCTTTTTTTTTGCCGCGAACATAGCGTAAGACTGAGAGGCAAAATTGAAAGAAGGAGCATATGAAAAACGCGTTGGAGGAGGTCAGAAGAGGTATGCCTATAAAAACGGCCGCAAGAATTTTCAGCGTTCCACGAATGTCCTTGAAACGTCGATTTTTAAACAAAAATAAGATATCGAAGATGGACAAAAAATTATTGGACAGCCATTGTCCAGTTTTTTCGCAAGAGCAAGAGCTAGAAATAGTTTCACATATTTTAGATTGTGAGTCCAGAATGTATGGCTTGACAAGTAGAGAGTTACGGCAGTTGGCGTACCAATTAGCGGAAAAAATAAAATGAAACATCCATTTTCCCACAAGGAGCAAGCTGATGGTAAAAATTGGCTGTCTGGCTTTAGAAAAAGGCATCCAGAAATATCCTTAAGATGTCCTGAAGCTACATCGGCTGCCAGAGCTAGAGCATTTAACAAGCCAGCTGTGACAAAAATTTTTAATTTGCTTAGAGACACACAGTCAAAATTTAATTTTGCTCCTCACCGGATCTTCAATGTGGACGAGATAATCGTTGATAAAAAAATAGTATATTGTAATGTGAACCATTTCATTATTCAGTCATGCTATAATCGTCCAAGTCCCTCTTTTATTTAGCCTTTGAGGCTCAACTTGTCCGATTCTTTAACTGTGACTGATATAAATGCTCCAAATGTTCGTGGCCATATCGCATGTTGAGTCTCTTTTTTAGTTGTTCAAAATCATATGTCCCTTCTACGGGTATAGTTTGAAGGACATCTAAAGCGTCTCCTCGAAGGGCGATTGTCAGATTTACTGCCTTTTCTCTCTCAGACCATTCGTTTGCTCTCGCAGCTATCTCGAACTGTTTAAGGTAGTTGTTCCATGACATCTTTTCGTCGAAAATTCGGGCTTTAACACGAGCAGAGTTTACAGATCCTTCCAACAGACCCTTCACGAAATTCAAAAATCTTAGCCAAAAAGGGTTCAAAGCAAGTAGAACGAGACAATGTTGTCACTATATTGTGTCTGCCACCTCACTGTACGCATAAGATGCAACCTTTGGACGTCGCAGTAATGGGCCCACTAAGTATTTATGTGGATCAGGCTTTAGAAAAATGGCTTAATCAGCATCCTGGAAGAACTGTCACAGTATTCCAAATAAGCAAGATTTTTTGTGAAAGCTACCTTAAAGCTTGCAATCCCACAAATGGGATCAACGGATTTCGCAAAACCGGCATTTTTCCGTATGATCCGGACGTCTTCTCAGAAGTGGATTTTATACCTGCTGAGGTTACCGACCAAAACGCCAGTGAGGCCAGTGAGGTGCCTGACAACGCTCCTAGTAAACCAACGCCAGGGCCTAGTTCTCGAGACGACGCAAACAACGCTTTTACTGAACCAACGCCAGGACCTAGCTCTCTAGACGATCCAAAAACGCCAGAAAAACTAAATGACCATCCTTCTCAGTTTCACCTCAAACATGCCATCCACTTCCAAAGCTAGAAGGAAAACGAAACACTACAAAAAGAAGGTCCATCGGTAGTATTGTACTGACAAGCATACCATATAAAAACTCTCTCGAGGAAGACATGAACAAGAAAACATTAATCCAGAACAAAAAGAATAAAGAGCAAAAAAACCTAAAAAGAAGAAGAATCGTCAGCAAAAGAAAAAAATTAGGAAGGATATTGTGTCTAGTTCCTCAGACACAGAAGATGAGAAGGAAAATAATACCGTGTGTTTATACTGTTCTGAGGAATACCTTCAATCAGCTGGAGGGGAAGGTTGGATCAGATGCATGCAATGCTTGGGGTGGGCACACGACCAATGCGCAGGTGTCGAAGAAGATGAAGAAATGTTTATATGCGACTTGTGCTCCGAGTGTCCGTTAAGCAAAATCAAAAAGAGAATTATTTTATAATTTAGTGTAAGAGTTTATATAATCTCCTTTAGTAAATGTATTTTATTTGATGTTTAATGTTTAAGTTTTTGTGGGGATCATTTTACCCCTACCTCTGAGGTAAAATGATCTTTTTGACTTTTTGTATTTTTTGAAGTTTTTTGAAGTTATTAAATATGGAAAAATAACGTGCATTGTTTTTGGTGGGCAAAGGATTAATCAATACTCTAATAAAAAAAAAGATTTATTTTGAAATAAGTCTTGCATGTTTTAATTGATAAATTATTTAATTGTATCTATATAAAATACAAATTAGGTAGGTATGACCAAATTCGAAAAGGTTTGTTAAATGCTGAAATTTGCTAATTACAATTTTGTGGCAAATTTTTTTTTAAATTGAACCAATATAGTTTTAAGGGTAAAGAAAACACAGATGACAGATTTTTTAATGTTGTAATACAAGTATAAAGGGAGATTTGAGAATGTACAGGGTATTACCTCATTCTTTAATTTCAGCTTTCCCCTTTTTATTTTGCTAACAGTACCATCAGTAAAAATAGTCTCATAATATTTGACAATCTCTTCTAAAAATATAGAACAGCATCATCTCTAGAAAGTGCTTTATCGGCACTAGGAACAATATATATGCTGCCACTGTTCTACGCGTTTAGTATTTTATAAAAACATTTAAAATTGGGGTTCAACAAAATAAATAACAGTAGCAACTCTTTATCTAACATTAAAACTCTATTCAAAATAAATTTTCTTTTCTAGTAAGTTAAATTTAATGTATAATTATTGTTGTTTGTGAGTCAGGATAATTGACTGTAAAATTTTATATTATAGAAACTTGTAATAAAATAAACTACATTTCGTAAGATACATATTGTGACTAGTTTACAATAAATAATATATTTAGACATAAATACATTATTTTACTTACATTAGAAGCTTTAAAAAAACATTGAATTGATTTGTCCTTGTGTTTTTAGTTTTACGTTTGATTTGTATTCTGTTTTACAATCTAGAACGACGTGCTCTGGTGTTTTTTGTCACTCATGTTACTTGTGCTCAGGTAATTTTTTTCACATTATTTTGATTCTTTTCACCAATTTTTTAAAAATTACATAGAAAATTGACACCGTTGTTATTCGATATGCTAACTACAGTCAATTTCGCGAACTTTATAAAAAGCAGGACGGAAATTTGAATTTTGACCATTGCCGATTTGCTTCCTTCTTTCTAGTCTTCATATTCACGACATAACATACATAACAAAAACTATTAATTAACTAAGTTGGCGAGTAGATGCACTTCTGTGTAATAATTCAAATATTTATAGCACACGTAGATGTTGGAAGGGCTTTTGGTAGGTTGAGAGGGGGTAAACGTCTAACCACGTCGGATGACTTCGAGAATTTCGCAGTAATGTTTACCTGCCAGTGTTGTTTCATAGAATAAATTATTTTAAATTGTTACCGGCAGAACCGGACAATCGCTGGTATTTATGGACTATAAATAATTATTAAACATGTATTAGTATTATAATATCAAATCATAATTCTAAAAAATTTTAACAGCTATTCACAATTTATTAAACTATTTACTCGAAATTGTTATTAACATCAATAAAATAATTTTGTACGCCAATGTATCGCGTTTACTTCGGTTAGATACGCCGCAAACCTGTCAATTTATGTTTATAAAGTGGGATAACTGGCAAAAGCTTTTCCATCTGCTGCCCCTACTATAACAATCCTCGGAAGACACTTGTCTTGTAGGTCGTATTATTATAGTTTTCACACAGAAGTCTGTGAAGAGTATTATGCATTCGCTTTATCCGTCCGTCCGTCCGATTTCACGTTTTTTGACCACACGATAAGTCAAAAACGAAAAACGATATCAATTTGAAAATTTCAGAAAAAATCAAGCTATATAAGGGGACGAAGCTTAATGATATTGAAAAAATCTGAATAAAAATAGGGGGGTTAAAATAGTAAAAAAATCAAAAATCAAAAACGAAAAGCAATATAAACATGAAATTTTTTGTAAAAATCAAGCAATGAAGTATACTGATTCTAAATAAAAAGGGGGAGTTAAGGGGGGGTTGAAATTGAAAAAACACGAAATCAAACACGAAAAGAAGCGATATCAATATAGAATTTTTGGTAAAAATCATGCTCTTTTAGAAGATGAAGCCTATTAATTCTAGAAAATCTGAATTAAAATGGGGGTTTAAGGGGGGTTCAAATATTTGGAAAAAATTCTAACTCAAAAACAGAAAAAGATATTAACTTAAAATTTTTAAATTTTTACTAAAAATCAAGCTCTACAAGGGAATGAACCCTATTGATTCTGAAAAAAAAATCTTAAATAAAAATGAGGGATAAGGGGGGTTGAAATTAAGGCTGGGCGATTATCAAAATAAATAATCGATTTAATATAATGGATTAATCGAAAATTATCGATAAATCGAAAATTATCGATTGATCGAAAATTGTTGAATAATCGAAAATTATCGATTACTCTAAAATTATCGATTAATAGAAAATAATCGATTAATTAAAAATAATAAAGTAATCGAAAATAATCGATTAATCGAAAATAATCGATGAATCGAAAATAATCGATTAATCGAAAATAATCATTTAATCGAAAATATTCGATTATTCGAAAATAATCGATCAACCGAAAATAATCGATTAATATATTATCGCCTAAAATCGATTAATTGAAAATAATAGATTAATTGATTATCGTTTAAAAAAAACGATCAATCGATTATTAATCGATTAATCGAATATTTTTCCCACCCTTAGTTCAAATTAAAATCTTCAGGAAAAATCAAGCTTTATAAAAATGAGCGGTTAAGATGGACGGGGTCTGTTAAACTGTAAAGAGTATAAAAGAGAAAAAGAAAAAAAAATTGAAAAAGTTAACTAAAAACAGGAATTTTTTACTCCAGTCTACAATGTGAAAAATGTATGATTTGAAAAATAAAATAAAATTTGTTAATTGTTTGACGTATTTTTAAAGTATTGTTAAAAGTTTTATGATACAAACTTGTATTTCTGGCATAAAACTGAAGACTTTTTTTAGAAGCTCGACAGTACCTGGTTTATAAAATGATGCTGAGGACTTGTTTAGAAATGTCACAAACAGAGGTCCGGGATTTGATAGAAGAGAAAATTTTAAAGGTATGTGGAAGGAAAAATCTTACTTCAAGGTTGACAACACTGATTATATATCTTCCTTCTAGTTTTTATTTTGCCAACGATCAGTTGTCAAAGAGTAGGATATCGACCACATACATTATATTATATATCGACTTACCGGCTTATTTAAATAATTTTATGGATGAGAATACAAATTTTAGGACGTTTTTATCGAAAATGCCTATTTGGTTCTAATTATTATTAACTGTTGGTATAACTTTTATAATAGAATACTGGAATGTCCTTTATTAACTTTAAGCAGTCATTAAAACATTACACAATATTGATGCTGTACATTTTGGGTATATAGATTTCTTCTAATAAATATTACATAATTTTTTTCTACAAACGTCAATAAAACAAGGTTCGGGCCATGCGCGTAGTTTGGGGGGGCAAGGGGGGCAGCTGGCCCCCTGGCTTTTACGACTTAACAACGCCTAAGATATGCATTATGAACAACAATCTCATAGAAATAATATTCAGGCTAATATAGTTGAAGAATATTATAGGTTGAATATATTTATTGCATAGTCTTGATTCCCTTATTACGTCGCACACATCACGCTTTTCCGAAGACTCTAGTTTAAATTTTTTCTTAAGCCTGGTACATCTCAAAAACATAAAAATTAATACTCTTTTCACTACCGATCGCAAAATAAAAATAATGAAAACATTTGGCTAGCTAACTGGAGTACAAAAGAGCTTTTTGCACACAATGAGCTCTCCATTATTGATATAGCGTCCAAACATTGTGAATTTTATCGAGACATACAAAAAGCTATAAAAATATTTATGGCTTTTCCACCAACCACAGAGTCAATCGAAAGAATCCTAAGGCATGTTAAACCATGGTTGCGGTCTATTCGCTTAGTGCGAAGTTATGGTAGGGGAAGCAAAAGCGATATTAGTGCAAGCTCCGGATAATTCGAGTACTCTAGGGCGATATTTTGGCAAAAAAAAAAAAAAAAAAAAAAAAAAAAGGTTAAAACAATAAAATGAGCAACAACCAGAGTTGCTATGTTATAAATTGTAAAAATACTATATTAATTTTCAGTAGGAAAATGGAAATTAAATCAAAGAAATAAATGGATAGCTGTATAATAAGAAATAAGAAATAAAAAATAACCCTAATTTTTGTAATAATAACAGTAATACTGGAAATAATAGACATCAGGAAATTGAAAGGTTTTAAATAAACAATGAATTATTATTTTATGATGTTCTTCAATGTCCCTTAAATCTTAAATGTTTAGCAAGGCTTAGATTTCTGCTTTTGAATATTATATATGGCTGAAATGCAATCTTGTGACTCATTGATAGGAAACCAGTTTTAATTATTAATTTCCATGGGTTCTTTTCACCTCAAAATGAAGAAAATATAAATTGCAATCGCAAATATAACAAATATTTTTGTTAATACGTTTTGATTCTAAGTTATTATATAATGGTAATGTTTTTATTTTTACATTATTAAACCTACTTTTCAATGACAACTTATTAGGCTTAGGCAACATCTCATATATTTTGTCGTAAATACCTGCCTATGTTTTATTATTGATTTTTATTGACTATACCACTGTTTTTTAGCTAAAGTAATAAAAATATATATTAATATTAAAAAATTCGTTTTTTTCTTGTTTTACAAATCCATATACTTTTATTAAAATCAACATGTATATTTTTAATTACGAATTCTTTTAAAAATTGTATTGTAAGTATACGCAAATATCGTCCGTTAGTTCATAAAATAGTTGGCGCTGCTGTCACGTACGGAGCGAATAATACATGAAAATAGGTTGACTGGGCTATGCATGATGAGCATTCATCGAAAAATAATCGGAGAAACCAAATAAAGAAATTATGTTTTCTGTTATCAATGTTTTTGATAGAGAAAGAATAAATAAAAAAAATTGCGTTTTCCTAGTGTTTTTTTTTTGTGTTCGTCGACGTGTTTGAGTGAGTTTTTTAAGTTTTTGTTTTTGTATAAATTTTTATTTTTTTTATTATGATGTATGACTGTGTCTTCTTGTTCATATGTTTCTTTTATATCACAATTTGTTTTTTAAAAATGTGTTTTAAGTTTCTTGTTTTTTTTTTATTTTAGTTTTGTCTTTTTTGTTGCGTTATTTTATTAATTAGAGACTTGCTCTTTTATTTTTTCACTTTCTTTGTTTTCCAACAAATAAACATTCTAAATTTTTTTTTAAATTTTGCCCCTCCCTATAGAATTGTGCGACGCCCATGTTTCGGGCATTGATAACAATATGCGAAGTGACCCTTTTTCTCACTTTCCTGCGTTACCACGACATCGTGCGCGAAATAGTGTGCGAAATATATATTTTGCGCACTACATGTAAACTATATGAAATTTTTGTATTTTAACACATTGGTAGAGAGAGAATGGGTAGAGGTACGTCCAAAATTAGTCACATCGTTTTATTGTGAAATTAGGGTTTACTTTGTGAAAGAAATTATAACTTTTTGGTTTGGACATTATTTAGTAGACGCCTAGAATAGTGGCTCTCCCCTGACACATAAATTTCTTTGTGATGAGACACAACGGTAATATCCGTCCTAAGCAAAACTGCATGTTATAGATTATAAACTTACAATGTACTATGCCAAGCGTCAAAATACAAAGCGCATGTTTTTTAGGATAACCTTTACATCTGTAACTATTTACTTTCTTTTGTTGTTGCAACGTAAAAAATAGCGATTTCTTCCATAATTATCTGGTACTGGGATAGGTTCTGATAAGTGTTCCCCAGAATTTACCGCATTTGTACTAGGTTTATTCAAAGGGGAAATTTTTATTAAATATATTCCATCTTTGATCTTTGGATGAACATCTAACAAATTCATGATTCATTTTTTTAAACAAAAAGAAGGAATTTTAGACAGTTATATCTAACAAGTGAAAAACCATTGTCTTGTAACAAAAAATATTTTTTTTGAGTGATGAATAGTACGAAATCATTTAGTAACATCGATCAATGCCAGACATGAATGCGTTGTAATCGATTATTTCATTTAATTTTCACTCCTTCTATTTTCTGTGGCCTTTAGAGAGAGATGGTGTGTAGTTGTTATACCGATGACTTCACGCTTATCCTTCCACTTACAGATGTAAATATGTCCCTGTCTTTGCCATACCTGATCACCCGCTGGTAGCTTAGCTTTTGTAACCAGAGTACCTCTTACGTAAATGTATCTCTTCCACTCATCAATAATAATCTTCTGTGAAGTCACATGACCAAAGCGCTTTTTTTCTACCTACTGGGACACATTTATTGTATTGTTCTTACCTATTTAAAAAAAAAGTGTAAAATTTATATGTGTATACGTGTATTTGATATGCCAAAATTACAAAATATCGCCCTAAAGTGTTGGCCTTGTTCGCAGCTTGCGCTAGTATCACTGTGGCTTCCCTTATCATGATTACGCACTTAGCGAATACATAACTCGGGGATCTTATTCTAGCCTCGCGTCTGTAGTTTGACGCTAGGCTGTAATAGAGTATTTCCTCACTCGGTATGTAATATATTATTGCGACCATCTTAAATTTTACTTGCCACCCATGAGAGGGAAGTAAAACTCGTAATAGCCTACTGCCCAACTTAAAAATGCTGAACTACGTACCTGACTGATAGTGACTTCTCCATTGTCAACAGTAACTGTCAATAATGGAAAACCTGGTTGCTTTATCCAGTTCTCCATGATCTGATTTAAATTGTCTGGTAAGATGGAATACATATCGTTTACATGTAATTGCAGACTTGCCCATAAATTTTCAGGTAGCGTATTCCCATTTTTACTAAAAAAAATAATTATAAAGTTTTAAAACCATTAAAATATTTAATAGAAATATAAACTTACTAAGTCGTCAGATATGTTGTTAATCCTTCTTTAAATCTATCTCCACCCAAAATATGTTCTACCATGCGAATGACACTTCCACCTACGAAACTTGTTATTACTAAAATGTATCTTTATATTCGATTTAAAACAATTTAAAATTAGTCCACATAATTTAAGTCGGTCCATCAAGTTTGTATCAAATTAAACTTAACTTACATTTTACGTGAAATAGATATTTACCTAGCTATATTAAAAATAATTGTAATGACAAATAAAAATAAGTCATGCTAAAAAAACATTTAAAATAGCACAGCTGGTTAAAAAGTTATTATATTGTTCTATTCTATTTCATTTTCAAGTGAAATTCTTCATCTATTACAAATTAAATCAATACCTTTTGAATAAGTTAAAGAATTGAACATCAGTAAAATTTCTGTTGGTGAAGAAACATCATGCTGAAGTGCCAAAGCATTTCCATCATCTGTTCTTAAGGCTTTTTGAACTGTTTTAATCACATATTGACGGTCTATTTGCCAGTTAGGTAATACCTAAAATGAATATTTAAGTATACAATTTAATAACTTCCCATTGGCAATATCTCCTGATAAAAAAGAATATCAAAAATTGCTTGAAACAAAGGAATGACGTATGACTTTTAAGAAAAGTGTAGAAAGGTGTCTCCCTTGTAATAAAAATCTACCTATTTCCAGCAATTTTTGAAATTTTTACATTGACACTCTATAATTTATAGTACATGATATAAAATTTATACAGGGTGAGTCATGAGGAACCTTACAGACTTCTACCATATGTAGAGTCCCTTAAGGGGTATATCATATGAGCATTAAAAAGTGGCAACTCCCCTTCGTTATTAATACACGGGGTGTTTTGGGAATTTTGACTAAACTTTATATGGCCGTAAAATCTACAAGGATTACTAGATTTCTTTAATTTTTTGGTGGAACTTTACACTGGTGTCTATCATTTAATTCATATCCTCAAAAGTTAAAAATTCCAGGATTGGCTTAGGAAAAATTAATCTCGACGATTCATATCAAAAAGTTCGCCCTGTATAAGATTTTTTTAAATTATAATAAGATATTTTTAAAGTACATAGATAGACAATCAAAACTGTGTATGTGACATTTTTGTCACATTTTCTTTAATTTTTTTATTAAGTTTTGATTTTGAGCAAAACTGAAAAATCAACTTAAGAGGTCACATTATAATGTTATAATTTAAAGAAAAAATTGTTAATGGTATACATTTGAACTAAAACGAGTCTAACATAAGCCTTTAGTGCCTACACCGTTAATATCATTTTATTCAATTTCCAGGCCTAGTTATAAATTTTTAATTAATTTTTAAACATTTTTGGAGACTCAAATAAATTAAACATAAGTTCATATGTATTTATTAGAAATATTTTATTTCGTTTAAATTTCATCAACAAACAATAAATAAATTTTAACGAATTCGAATAACGAGCAACTAAGAAATTTAAAAAAAACTATTACTACATACATAGAATAATGATAACATGTATACTAGAAAATAAAATCATGGTAATAAATTAACAATTACAGTAGTTGTTCGAAATGAAACCCTCCAGCTTCTACGCATTTTTGTTGCCGAATCGTTAAGTGCCTTATTGTCGTGATCGTTTCTAATAACATTAGAGCAAAGGCTAATTCTATCAATTAATTGTTGTCGGTCATTAATATTTTGTGAATGAACTAATTCTTTCAATCGTCCCCAAATATAGTAATCTACGGGGTTAAAATCTGGGGATCTTGGAGGCCATGAAATAGGACCTGCACGTCCTATCCATCTGTTGCCAAAAACATTATTTAGATGGTTTCTTACCGCAACTAAAAAATGAGGCGATGCTCCATCATGTTGGAAATACATCCCTCGGATACCTACGTTGGCAAGTAAATTAGGTAAAGTATTTTGCAAAAAGTCTAAGTAAACTTGTCCTCTTAAAGGACCATAAAAAAAGTGAGGTCCTATAAATTGGTTATTTATCACACCAATCCACACGTTCACGGAAAACCTTAACTGAGACCGAAACTCTCGAACAGCATGGGATTGTCTACTGCCCACACATGTAAATTACGGGAATTATTTATCCCATCCCTTGTAAACCGTGCTTCATCTGTAAACAATGTTCTATACAGTACTGGTCTATGATTTGCAATCCACCTACAAAATTCCAACCTATGGATTTCATCTCCAGGGTGTAGCCGCTGAACTAATTGAATATGATATGGGTGTAAATTATTTTTTCGTAAGACTCTAGTCACTTTTGATTCGGTAACATAAAGTTGTCGACTTACTTTCCTGGTGCTTATTGTGGGGTTCGAATTAAAAACTGATGCAAATGTTGAATGACAGGGAACTCGACGACCAGGAAATCTTCTATGATATTCTCTTGCTGCAGCTCTGCCATTCCCATTACAGAATCCGTACATAAAAATGATATCTGCATATTCTGCATTTGAAAACTTATGGGGCATTTTGAATAACAACACCAACAACAAAAATTCTAACACTATTGTAAAATAGATAAAACAAAGCGAAATATTATTTTACACGTATAAATAATGGTTGCAAATGACAAATAAATAAGAACAAACAAACGTCAAACTATCACAACCTACCTTGATACATAGGTACCTACTATGTATTTATAATAAAAATAAAACCACATAATATCTTAGTTGCAAGAATAAAATGTGCAGTTTTTATTAGAGGTTAATAAATAGCATTTATAATTATTAATTAATAAGTGTGAATTTATTGTTCGTTATTGTTATTCGCTACAATTTATTTATTGATTATTGACATGTTTAATTTAGTTGAGTAGTTTCTATAGTCTACAAAAATAGGCCGATTTCTATTTAAAATTTAAAAATGAACTAATCTGGATCTGGAAATTGTCGAAAATGAATTTAACGATCTAGTAAGCTCACTAAAGGCTTATGTTTGGCTCGTTTAGTTCAAATGCATACAATTAACAATGTTTTCTTTATGTTATAACATAATTTATGTGACCCCTTAAGGTGATTTTTCAGTTTTACCCAAAATCGAACCTTAATAAAAAAAAGGTGACAAAAATGTCACATACACAGTTTTGATTATCTATCTATGTACTTTAAAAATATCCTATTATAATTTAAAAAAATCTTATACAGGGTGAACATTTTGATATGAATCGTCGAGCTTAATTTTTCCTAAGCCAATCCTGGAATTTTTAACTTTTGATGATATGAATTAAATGCTAGACACCAGTGTAATGCTCCACCAAAAAATTAAAGAAATCTAGTAATCCTTGTAGATTTTACGGCCATATAAAGTTTTGTCAAAATTCACAAAACACCCCGTCTATTAATAACGAAGGGGAGTTGCCACTTTTTAATGCTCATATGATATACCCCTTAAGGGACTCTACATATGGTAGAAGTCTGTAAGGTTCCTCATGACTCACCCTGTATAATACTTGAACGCGTTTCCTTTTCCAATTGCCAACAAATTAAATATCCATGCTTAAATGCTTACCAAATGTGTCGCCATATTTTCAAAATAATCGGCAAAACCTTCGTTCAAAAATATTTCTGACCACCATTGCATTGTTACTAAATTTCCGAACCATTGATGGGCAATTTCGTGGGATAGTGTCATGGCTATATTCTGTTTATCAAGGTTAGTAGATTCAAAAGAGTCATACAACAGACTGGTTTCTCTAAAAAAAAGGCATTTTTTTTAAGCTGAAACTCATCATTGATGCCTGTCACATGACGTCATAGATTACCGATGAAACGTTTGTGCTGAATAAAAAGACAGCATTTAGCCAAGTCATTTGTCATTTATGATTTAAATTTGAAAAATGGAAAAATAATGAAAACACATTCATTTATGACTATCTCCCTAGACCAAATATCAGCGACTATTTCTCTAGAGAAATAGTCGATATTTGGTCTAATAAAATAGTTGTTCGAAATATAACACGACCTTGATTAGTATTCTGCTATTTTTGTTGTTACTAAATTTCTCGAACATTTTACAATTTGATTCTACATAATTTTGGCATTATTAATCAATTAATCAATTGATTAATCAGATTATTAATGCCAACAATTGTGTCTCATCAAATCGATATTAAAATATTCTCGAGATTTAGATTCAACAAAAATAGCTGACTATTATCAAGGTCTTGGTTGAAATAATCAACCCCTAAGATATTTTTTCTTACAACTTTTTTTTAGATGAAAATTTTTTCTTTAAAAAAGTATGACTGAAAAGCCCAATTCATTGACTAACTTTTTTAACTCTACAAGTTTTTTCTAAAACTTACGAGAAAAAAAATCTAATGCAATGCATTTTCAAAAAGATGAGCTAACGCGAGTATATTTTGCGTCAAGTCCAGTGGCCTGTGCTTTGCATAAAAACATTAATACTGATACCAGGATTGTGTAGTGTCATTTTCTGTTACCCATCTTATTGTTTCACAAGTTTTATGATTGTGTATTGTAGGAAATATTAGTTGATTGAAAATATGAATGCATATTCGAATTTGGAAATGGCAGATATGCAGTTTACATACGGTCGTGCTAACGGTAATTCATTGGAAGCGCAAAGACTTTATGCTGAACAGTACCCACTGCGTAGACTACCCCATCATACTACGTTCACAACTATTTACCGACGCTTGCGGGAACGTGGTAATTTTGAAAAAAGAAGTTATGATTCTGGTCGTACTAGAGAAGTTAGAACTGCAGCTGTAGAAGAAGCCGTACTTAATTCAATTGAAGAATTCCCAGAAACTAGTACTAGGAGAATAGCTCGTGTCCTACATGTAAGCCATTCCGTTGTTTTTAGAATTTTAAAAGAACAAATGTTGTATCCCTATCATCTTCAACGGGTGCAGGCGTTAATGATTCGAGATTTTTTACCCCGTGTGATTTTTTGTCAGTGGCTTATTAATATGATTGGCCAATCACCACAGTTCTTAGGTAATATTTTATTTACTGACGAGGCGAGTTTCTCAAGAGACTGTATTAGAAATTTTCACAACAATCACCTTTGGGCTGACGAAAATCCTCATGGTTTTTTTTGAAGGAAATCATCAGTATCAATTTTCATTAAACGTGTGGCTCGGAATTATTGATAATCATTTAATTGGTCCCAATTTTCTTCCGCTACGATTAAATGGTGAAGCATATTGTCATCTCCTTGAAGAATTGCCTGTTCTTCTTGAAGAGGTTCCCATTCAAATTAGGCAACATTTATGGTTTATGCACGATGGTGCACTAGCTCATTTTAGTATACGTGCAAGAACTCACCTGGATGAGGTGTATGCCAATCAATGGATAGGTCGAGGAGGACCTGTAAACTGGCCAGCCCGCTCCCCTGACCTTAATCCTTTGGATTTTTGCATATGGGGATATCTGAAATCTTTGATATACACAAACCCAGTTGAAAATATCGATGATCTGCGAAACCGCATTGTAGCAGGGTGTGAAACTATAAGAAATTCTCCAGGAATATTTCATCGTATACGCAATTCTATGAGGAAAAGGGTAGATGCTTGTATTGAAGCTGAAGGCGGTCATTTTCAACATTTATTATAATTGTATTGTCGATATTCGACAGGTTTTTGTTCATTGTTTGTTCACTTTTGTTTTTAGTTGTAGAAGTCTTACGAATCATAATTTAGTTGGCTGTTGTTTAATAAAATGCTATTTTACATGAGCTTATTTATTTTTTTCTCATAAATGCTTAAGTTTTCGAAAAAAACTTGTAGAGATAAAAAAGTTGGTCAATGAATTGGGCTTTTCAGTCATACTTTTTTAAAGAAAAAATTTTCATCTAAAAAAAAGTTGTAAGAAAAAATATCTTAGGGGTTGATTATTTCAACCCCTTCTAAGCAGGGTTGAAAAAATTTCAAAAAGTGTACTTTTATTGACAGATAATGTTTACTAAGTTTCGTGTCTTTAGCTTAATATACAGGGAAAATAAAAAAGAAAAACCTTTTTTTTTTTAATTTTCGAAGGGGTGTAACTTTTCCGGGGAGGATATCGTAGTTGTCACACATTGGCTGTGAAAGCACGGCTATGCCTAATACAAAATTATAAGTACTGTATAACGCAAAACTAATAACAGATATAACTGATTATTTTTTCATGTAATTTTTAACCAAAAGGAACGATCAATTTAGTTAAGTTACCTTGTACAATTTCGATAATATCTGATTATACGTAGAGTAGCTTCACCAATCGAAAATTTTACAATAATTTTAATTCCGTAATAACCACATCGAAATCAATATACAACAATAAACAAACTAACAGGACCGTCTTTTGACGTTTATCAATAATTGTTCAAAAATAAGTCGATTCGAAGATTTATCATTAAATGCCATAGACGAAAGTATACAAAATACTGAGCCTCATAATACAGTAAAAACAAAAAAGTACGTATGGAAAAAATTTCTTACGTTTTGTAGTGAAAGAAACTATGTACTAAATGAAAAAATTTCCACTGAAATGATAGCATCTATTTTGAAAGATGGGCTTCTAATATGCGAAAAGGTAATGGAGAAAGTTATAAAGAAAATGTTGTTAAAACGATGTGGAACGTAACAGCAAAACAAGTACAAGAAAAATATTTGCAATAGTTTACTGGAATAATTGATCCATTTTCAAGTCCCATATTTTTAGCCGCACGAAACAAAAGAAATTCAAAAAGAAGGGAACTTCAAATGTTACAGGACAAGAGAAAGGTTAGTGCATCAGCATCTAAAGATACCGAGTACATACCAATGATAGAAGCATGGGATGAAAATATACCAGAAGGATTACAAATATATATATATTTTTTTAATTACTTTTGTAGAACTAGCGTGGAGAGGAAATGAGGGAGCGTCATGCTTGACTTAATATTTTCAAATGGAAACTGGAAGTGATGATACCAGAACCACACAGGGAGGATCAAAACCGTGTGCTAATAATAAATGGATTGTACCCAACCATAATGGATCAAGTAGTTGTCCAGTGAGACTTCTAACTTAACATTCAAAAAAACATCTTTTCTTGGATTATATACCATTGAGACCACATCCTCACTTTTTTTAAACAACTGCAACTAACTACACACTATTTCATATCATTATTAATTTATTATTTTAGCAACCTACTATATAGCTTCTCTTTTTTAAATTAAAAATCGTTTAACCTGAACGGCGATCGAACTCACGATACGCGTCCATTATCGTTCTACACTTTTAACCGCTAGACGATTTTGACCAGCCACTTGAAATACCAGATATGGTTATAATAGAATAAGATTTCAAACTTCCGCTGGTGGAATGAAATGCAATAGATTCAATTTGTCAATTTTTAATGAACAATTAAAAAAAAGAAAATGTATTTAGGTGGGTATTATCTGGTGGGTAAATAAATAATAACCTAAGAGTCGGTCTTTTCACCTTCAGGTAAAGTGTCAGGTAATTGTTATCTCCTAGATAACTTAAAAAGTAATTTTTTCACTTTTGGATAAAGGTTACCGGCAGATAAATTAGTCTAATCTGAAATATAACTTATTTTACCTCTGAACTTCCTGATAAAGTAGTGACTGACGGATAAGTAGGTATATTCCATAATAAATGTGATACGAGTCAACATATTATTTTTTTTGCTTTTATGGACGTTTTTGAAGGTTTTTTTTGTAAATAGTGGTTGTTTGTTACGTATAATTGTATATTTAACTCTCGAAAAAATAAGCGATATAATAAAAAAAAAACAGTCTTTACATTATATAAAATAGTTAATGGCAAATAGTGTAAATTAATGCGAGTCGCACCAATAATACACACATACACAATAAAAAAACTACATCTTTGAAAAATTCAATTTAATCATTGCTTATTGAAAGTTGACTGATATCTTTTGTTTGTCCCTTGCTTTAAATAACAATTATTTTCAGAAAAATACAAAAACTCTTTTCAAATAAGTGACAGAACACAATAAAGACAACAAGTGAGAGTGACATATCGAATGCATAAATACATTGATAGGAACTCCGAGCAATTACTAATAGAGGGAGCGTGAAAACGAGTTTGTAGGCGATTGTTGTGTTAGAAACATCTGTAGAGGAAGTGAGGAAGCGGGCACAAGGGGGAAGGTAAACATCCTTCTTGTTCAGTGGCGTATCATTTATCTATAAAAACACACATTGTCCAAACGTTTTAATTGTAAAAAAAAAACTAAAAAATTTGCTTTTACTATTTTTAAAATGAATACCGTCTAATTTTTTCAATTGAAGAATAAAACCTTAAAATCAATTTTATTATTAATACAGGAGCGACTAGTTTCGGCCTTACAGGAACATCTTCAGGCCTGTAATACAATAATATTTAATTATTATAATAGGTTGGTCGCTTACGAATAACATTAAATAGTATAAACCACAAAAATAGATCCATATTGTAGCGTTACAGCATTTTAGAATTAAAGCTCTGAAAATAAAAGAGCAGTGCAAACGTAACTAAAAATAAGAAAACTGATTACGGAATCTACAAGAGAAGAGGTGAGAATGAGCAATTACGAATGCATTTAAATTGCTCGGGATAACAAATAAAGCTGATAATGTAGTGGTATAGTCCCCGCCAAAGAAGGTCTGGATATGTTAAAGAGAACGGCGTTTTCTCTGTAAATCTGGAGAATGTAAGGATGGAGGGAAGACGAATCTTGCTGGCTCAGGTGTAGATGGCTAGAAAAAGGAGCGTGTAGATGAAAGATCCAGTAAATATAATCACTTTCGTCTAATTTTTTATTCTCACTCACCGTTTCGGCTTTATCTTCGAAATTCATTTTTAAAAGGAAATAAAAGTAATCATTCATACAAGCATATAATAAAACAACATGAATTCATTATATTTAATAAGCTAATAAACGTTTGTTTCAATGAAAAAAACATATATGTGAGTATAAAAAATATATAAATTAATATCAAAATCAATTTGAAAATACAACAGATATAAAAATGAAATAAATTAGTACAAGTACAAATAGAAAGTTGATAACACCTTCTAAAAGTAATACATTTTAAGTAGATAAATGTTTAAAGAGTTTATTCCTGAACATAACTAATCTAACGTTCTTCCCCTTTTTAATATTATGAGGGTTTTTGTAGTTGAAATGAAAATTATAATTTATTTTGCTCCTAATAAAAATTTAAACATAGGTTATCAAAGAGTAAAATTCATAATAGAACTTCATAATCTTAAATCGTTATCAAAAATTATTAATGGTAAAACTTCAAACAATAGATTCTTAAACAAATTTCTAGTTTTTGTTTTGCAAAAGACTTTTTTGCCTTTTATTTTAGTAGTTTCGAGGAGAATTTTCCTGTGGAAACCAGTAGAACCATCAATTGGTTGGTAAAATTTTGATATTTTGAGTCTGGTAAGTCTTGTTAAACTTTCTTCTTAGGAAGCTATAACCTTATGGAGAATAAAAATTTTATGTTAGATCAAAAGCTCTTAATTGAGAATTATATTTGCAAAGGCCGTTTTAATAATATTTTCAAAAGTTCTTGGAATCGTTGTTAACAGAAACCTGCAAAAAAATATATAATTTTATTCCTAAAATATAAGATATCACACAATGCACATTCATATAATATCATTGTGCTAGAAAAATACTAGGTAGTTACTGAGACAATTTAAAAAAAGTATTTCAAAAAACTCAACTTTTAATGTCATCATTGTACTTAACTTTTTATTGCTAAATTATTAATAATGTCATTTTGTGTAGTTCGTTGTGATTTGTATAATATATATTATAAAAAACTATCATCAATGTTAATGTGCCAAGTTTTTTTAATAATTATGTCCTTGTTATAGTAAAAACACATTTAACCACATTTTTAAAGTTTTCTGGATTTCTGCTTTAAATTATCGTACAATTGAACTGACTAATTGTGAGTTTAAGTAAAGGTATATCTCTTTTTTGTTTTAACAGTCTTTGTATATTGTTCTGACTTTTTAGATAATCAGAGAAAACAGTAAGACATCTCTTAATATATCCTATTTCACCAACAAAAATGTGGAATAATTAATCTCACATCAAACGAAATAAGTAATTTTAGGGTGTCCTAATAGGTTTTAACTTGAAAACTAAATAAAATGTATATTGCAACTGTGTTTAAACAAATGAATGTTTTTATACCTGACTATAGCACCAGACAAACATTTTTTTAGATCATAATGATCTGCATAACTCAAAATAGTCAAAATCCACATTATTTAAGTTGTTCTAGTATTGTTTTAGCATAACGATGTTAACTCCAATAATAAATATTCATATTTTTTTGGGACGTTTTTTAAGGAAATTAAAAAAAAAAACATGAATAATGTGATATTCTTGTTTAGTTGTGTACTATATAATATAGTTCATTAGGTAGTGATTTAGAAGAAAATTATGTTCTATTTATAGAATAAAAAATCACTCATAATATCTAAATATTTATACCTATTTATATTTTGGACTATTTTATGTTTTTGGCTCTGATTAGTTTTCTTAAGAATTTTAAAACTTTCCTTAGCTCTTTTGGGATATTCCATGCATATCTTAGAAGTTCATTTTGTTTAAACCTAAAACAAATTAAGTACAAAAAATGAACATTTAAACAATACACAAAATTAGTCTTTTAGATTAGTTAAAAAAAAGTGTCAACAAAAAAATGGCTATGCCTTGTTCCTTAAACATTCTTTTTGAAAGGAAATTAAGTTTCTCTACTTACTTGCTGTTTTAGTATTTTAGTAGCAGATGAATATAATGTAGAAGTAGTGACAGGATTGATTATTATACTTCCTTCGTCGAAATTGCATTTTTCTTTAATATTTTCCTTCCCTGAGGTCTGTAATAAAAATGTTCATTAGCATAAAAAGTTATTCAGGTGGACACTTGTTGAATTCCTATATTTTGGAACCATGTATTTCTTTTTCATATCAAGAAAAGGAAACCTAAAAAAAATAACAATAAACTTTACAAAGATGTGATATTAAAATAATAATAATAAGTAATTAACCTTTACTATAATCATTATGAGACGAATGAAGACGAACTTAGCTCGAGTTTACTTGCTCTTAATTTTAATAAGAATAAAAGAAAGTTTAATTGCAAATTAAAGGTGATTGCCTAATGCACCGCCTCTGATAATTAGGTTGTGTCTGTACTTACTCATGATATTATCTTGAAGAAGCATTTTCAACAGGCCTTTTACACATAAAGCATGTTTTCACCATATTATTAGAGATAATAAATCTTAAATATACATATACAACCCTTACAACGTTATAAATAATAATATTTTCCGTAAAATACAAATAAGAAATTGACATGTGTCAGAAAGTGTCAGAACTGGCGCTCACAGAACACTTCTGCCGCTGTCAAACTTGGCAACGCTGATTAAATAAGCCAATTACAGAAGAGGTATTTTCATCCTCGGGGGGAGTAGATGTTGCTAACAAAATTTAGGGCGGGGAAGGGGGGAAGACTCCCTCTAGTAGTAATTGCTCGGAGGATAGGAATGTAGTTATATGATCACAGAACGTTAAAAAGTATCAGATAACTAGCCTACAGATTATTTCTCTTAAAAAGACGAAAACTTGATTATCTGTCAGATAGTAATTCTCAGATAATACATCCGTTGGTTAGTTACCTGGAACTTTATCTGAAGATGAAAAGACCGACCCTTAGATGGACGTCCGTTAACGTCAAAATACTACTAAACTTAAAATTAGATCTTTCATTGGACTATGTGTGCTGTCTGGAAATGATAAATAAAAAATACCCAACACTATCTAACCTGTATATTACCAATCCCCAGTTTTCCATACCTCCAGCAGCAAAGTCTGGTATAGCTACTTGATCTAATTTGTCGATGGTACTATTATAATTAATACCTGTGTATTGGTTCAACGCATTTAAAATTTTTGGAGTTATGTTTGTCGCCCAATTTCTTTGTTCAATAGTCATTTTCCTCGAACAGATACTATTTTCGACACCATCTATTATTGTTGCAGGTGAGCAATCAAATTCTGAAATTATAAATGCTACCAAATATGATGACATTACTGGTGTTGGAGCAAAGTATGTTGTTCCCGCTGAATTTCTGAAATTCAAAAATAAATTAATACATTTAAATTTCGAAGATGTTTATTTTGTTGAGTTTGTTCGGGTTCTTTAAAAGTCATCAATGCAAACCGTTCGAGATCCAGCTGAATACCAAAGTATTCATCGCGTACAACTTTTAAACATTTCACTGGTCAACTGAAGTTCATTTACCGAGAAGTTATCCAGTTAGTAAACGTTAATATACTAGATCCCTGTGAATATATTTCAAAGATAAATTTTGTAATTAATACCACAAGGCGAAATTGGAACGCTGCATATTAAAATAAACATTTTACTTAAATAAATAATTAATTTGATATAGAGGATGTTGATTTATTGTGTTAAAATCTGAACATAATATGGCTGTCACTAAAAGCTATTCCAAACACCGATCACAGCCCAGCCTTTTGAAACCGATCACGATATGGATGGGTGACTAAACTTATATAGCTTGTGGTCTTATCTATGCGTTGGAATATATTGGTAGAATGTATAAGTTAACTGAATAGGAAGGAGTAAGATATTCAAATGATGGCATAATAATTAACCCATGATATGCAGTGCATGTGAGTCTCAAAACAGGGAAGGCAGGCTAGAACCTAAGTCTACGGGATACCTGCGGGATGAACACGTGTTACTGCAAACGCCTCCATTGTACTTAAAAATTAAACGATTAACGAAAAGTATACCATAAACTATAGATCCAACAACATACGCTGCCCACCTAGTGTTTACTGACTGGATCTCTTCTCAGCAAGTAGTAGTTCTTAACGTATTTTTGAAGAACCAGAATAAACCTTCTATTTTAAGGAGTAAATATATCAATACTCTTCATTATTAAGCAAGTCCATACTACCTAACAAGGCTCGAATTTGGTCCTTAAAATGAAAAATGAAAGCTTTGCTCATAAGATTTTTCTACGATCACATTAGTTTATGATATTTAAAAGATATTCTTAAATAAATATTAATTAGATAATAAAACAAGATGCATAGCTTACTTTGGATAGTGATTTTAGAAAAAAATATATATTTTTTAAATCCCCTACCCCTATTCTTAAAAGGAATTCAAGTTCCTTACAAGAACTGCTCTAGGGAGGGGGCTAAGGCTCCTTTATAAAAATTCTTACAATAATTATTCAGCCTATCATTAAAAAAAATATAAAGTATAGAAATATTTATACTCCACGCTAAAAGTTGTAATGGCAATATCCCCTTCGGAAAATTTGGCCTGTAGCCTTAAAGTAAAAAACTTACTGTGTCTGCTTTGTATTCGTTCGTATGTTGACGGAAACTGGTAATGCAAAAGTAGTAAACAAAAGTGAAAAAGTGGCCTTAAAGGCAGGTTCGTCAAAACACGGAAAAGCTCTTCTAGCATACGTTGGTAGAAACTGCGTAGCCAGAAGATATTTTGTAATACCATCTTGATCTTGGTAACTGCTTCTATAAATTCCAAACATATCTGTTTTGCTTATTGTTCCAATAAAACTCATAACCAACTCATAATTTCCCGGTTCGATATCTAAAAAATATAGAACACTTCAGACTCCAAATATGATATAAAATACAAGTTGTGTTGTTAAAAAAAAACAGATCGAGTCACTATAAACTATAAGAATAAAACTACTCAAAATCGATACCATAATATAAATTAATTGTCTAAGTATGCAGATACAACAGAGCAATTAATTTCTGCCTATGTGGCCAGCATCAAGCCCGTAATACAAAATTAAGTTTTGGTACAAGGTTTAAGATCTACAAAGTGTGATTCTAACATAATATTAAATGTTATATAATTCAAAATTACTCAAAATTCCTACATCCAGTGGTATAAAGAAGTTATAAAAATTGGTATTAACAAAAATAGATTTTTTACTGTTAAAAATTATATTGTGGTATTAATTTTAGCTACCGTTTTATTTTTATTGAATATACGACCACATTTGAGAATAATGGATATTTCATCATTATATACTATATTGCTTTCTACGTACATAGCTGTAATTTTCAGTAAACATTTGATATTGAATTTCTAATGTTATTTCTCAACCGCCTATAGTTAGAGATTTTGAATTAATCTAATTAACGTAAGGCTGAAAATTTGTAGAATTAAAATTTAATACCATGTGAATAAACACTGCAGGTATACCGCGGTTGCGATATGTACCTATACATTTTTGAAAAAAAAAATATTAAAATTAACATTTATCTACAAAGCTTCAATTTTAATATACTTAAATTTATTGTGGTAAACTGAATATGGCCTTAAGGTGTCAATAGCCAATACTCTCCACCAAATATTGGAAAAGCTGAACATAATAAATGAACGAATTACTAGGTTAGAATATAGGAGCTATACCCAAGAGACAATATAATGAGTAATAGCCTAATTGACAGCACCAACAAGAATTGCAAGCAATCCTAGACATAGAAAACATATGCTTCGTTTTAGATAATAACTTTACCAATGTGTCCTTCATTAAATTTAAGGGATATAAGGTTTATCTTACCATTCATCTCCAAAATGCAGCAAGAGCGGGTAGCGCAGTAATAATAAGAGAAGCAATTAAGCATTATCAAGAAGCGGGATACAGGACTGAAGAATTTCAGGCTACTACATTAATGATAAAATCTAAAACATGATGTTATGGTCATTTCTACAAATTGTCCACCGATACATACCATTAAAAAAGAACAATACTAAGACTTCGTCATTAGTCAGAGACCTAGATGTATCGTTGCAAAACACACCTATTGAGGCTCCAGACTAACAACAACTAATGGTACAAACCTAAAAGGAGCGATGACACAGCTAAAATGTGAATCGCAACTGGCAAACCAACTTATTGGCACACAGAAATAAAATACCCGACTTAATAGATTTATTTGTTGTACGAAATATTTTGTTAACTACATACAAGTTGTTGAGTGAGGTATGAGATATAAATTCAGATCATTCGCCGATTCTTTTGACTCTTAGGGACACCATTATCCAAAATGAAAGGACTTTTACACTAATAAATAGGATAGCAGACTGACAAAGCTTCAGACTGGACCTTGAGAAGAAAATAAATCTTTCAGTTCAATTAAGAACAACAGCACAGCTAAATGAAGAACTACTTGTTTACAAGCAAGCAGCATAGGATAATGCTGAGTGAACAACAGGAAATACCTATTATAAAGAAATAAGGGACATACTCTCTGCAAAAAGAAAGCTAAGAAAAAAATGGCTTCAGACCAAAGCTCCATTTTAGATAAAACCAATCTTAACAACGTCACCCAGCAGTTAAAAAGAGAGCTAAAATGAATCAAAAATGAGTGAGTGCCTAAGATAGTTGACAAAGGATTAAGCCACTGATTATTCTCTATGGAAAGTCACAGAGGCCCACTGTGCAGAATGCTCCAATTAAGAATACGGATGGCAGCTGGGCTAGAAATAACATACAAAAAGTAAATAGATTCGCAGAGCACTTACAAAATACCTCTCAAGGAGAAAAATTACCAAACGGTTTTTCTAGAGAGAGACTACTCAATCATCAGACCAACCTCTCCAAAAGAAATTTCAAAAGATATATGAACAAATAGATTTAATTAAAAGGGAACTTTTAAATCAACTTCCGAAGAAAGCCATAATTAGCCTCTAGGTTGTGGAAAGTAGCTGAAGTCATTATGATCCCCAAACCAGGAAGTTTCGTCATATAGGCCAATATCTTCATTGCCTATGTTATTGTAGGAATGAGATGTTAATACACTGCGACCTAAAAGATCTATTGCGCTTCCTTCCGTCACTAATGCAGCAAGGAATGTCTCAATGCCTATAACGATCCTTCTAGTTCTATATTCTCAAGGAAGTGTAGGATTTGGAGTGGCTTTAAGTTAGGTAAATCTCCCTCTTCTATTTGATATGCTCCCATTTTTAAAAAAATACTAATGAAAATACTGAAACTCATCATTAAAGAAAGAAAACTAGTTCTAGATTATGAGTTCAGCTTAAGAGAAAACCATTCAACAATAGATCAGGTCCACACAATCTTAAATTCGATTGATAAAGCATTAGAAAACAACGATGTATGTTCAGCCATTAAGTATAGTATGCGGACATAAAAGATAAACTTTGTATCTGTTGTACACTTGTGACATACCCCAACTAGAACAAGACACAATAGCTACATTTGCAGATGATATTGTCATCCTAGCGATAGACACAAATAATGAAGGGGCACAAATAAACTACAAACATCCGTTAATTAAATAAATAACTGGACCAAAAGTTCGCGTATTAAACCAAATCAGTCGTTCCCAACTAAGGGGTCATTTTTGATTCAAGGGAAAATTTGGGGAAGGCATTGAGGAACAACTGTAGCCCCCTGGAAAATACTCAAAAGTACTAGATGAACAGTTTTTTTTTAAATGTGGGTGGTAGGCCAAAAAATGGTTGGGAACTATCAACTAAACGAACCCAAATCTGTTAATATTAATTTTACTAATAAAAAGGTTCATGTTAAAAAAATACAAGAGTTACATATAAAATTCAAGAAAATGTACTAGTTATTTGGTAGGAATTTCAGCCAATCTACATATTTCTGGAAGTTTTAAATTAAGATTGGTTTTACGGATTTACTTTAGTTATAGAAAATTAAAATTACTTTTCTATGTCAATTAGGTACGGCAGCGTAGAAGGGCCACATTTTTTAATTTTTTTTTTTTTTTATTTTTAAAATTTTGTATTCGAACACGGAATTTCGTATTAAAACACGGGATTCCGTATTCAAACACGGAATTTCTTGTTCGAACACGGAAATCCGTTTAGTTTCCGTTTAGTGCCGTTCTATTGAAGTAAAATAAACTTATTTAAATGGAAATTGTAATTTTAAAAAATTCGGAATTTTTCAAAATATCCTGTAACTTTTTTTCTAAACAAAAAATACAAAAATGTCAAATACGTCCCGAGATATCGACCAAAACTTCTAAATGAGATTACGAAGAAATTACTATTGCAACAGGTGCAGGCAGTTAAAAATTTATATTTTACATTGTATTCTTTTACACCATGTACAACACTGAAAAATTACGTTTTACTGAAGATCACATAAAGCCATTGATGCAAGAAATAATGACCTGTCATAATCTTCTTCATTGTTAAAAATCGGCTTAGGCGTTTCCGAGATACAGTCTCCTACAAATGACGATAAAATTAACTGTACCGACTAATTCCGTGAGCAGTTTATTTAGAAAGCATCTTCCATCGGAAACCACAAGAAGGTGAAGAAATTAAAATGGATAACCAAGAGAAGGTCCTAAAGAAGTACAAAGAGAAATAAAATAATATTAATGTGAAAAAGCTCGCGAGTTCGATCTGATCACAGGAGAGATTCTAAAGAAATTACCACGAAAAGGTTTAGTAAAACTGACTAATATAATAAACGCAACATTTATACTTCAACAGGTAATATTGATACCCAAACCAGGAAAACCCAGTAATGAAATAACATCATGTAGAGCAGCGTTACTCAAAGTGCGGTCCGCAGAGCCCCATGGCTCCGCAAAGCCTTTTTAGGGGCTCCGCGAAGAAAATAATAGTCCTAATAAAAAGGAGGTACTATCGCTACAAAAAGAGGAAGAGGAAGGACGATATGATTTTGCTCGGAGGACCTTTTTTTTAGAAGTCACCAAGAGGAAGGAGGATATGATTTTGATTTTTTTGTGGGGACTCCGCAAACAAGGGGTAGGGACCTGGCTCGGGGCCTGTTGTTTTTTTTAAGTCACTAAGAGGAAGGACGACATGGACCTTCATGGTTTTTTTTTAGAATTTTGTTTAGGGCTCCGTCAAATATTTCGCTTTTCAAAATGGTTCCGTCTCCAAAAAAGTTTGAGAATCACTGATGTAGAGCCATCTCGCTTTTACCTATGATGTCAAAACTATTTGAGAAACTGTTCTTAACGACTGAATAAGATAATCAAGAGTAATATAACGAGACTTTGAAAAATAGTCGACTATTTTTAGTGTATCTAAATTTTGAGTGTGATATCAATTTATCGAAACATAATTTTGTTATTAATAATCTAAATATAGGATGAATTTGAATTTCCGAACTTTAAACTAAAATAAAACTCGTAAATTTCAAAAAATATATATTTTAACTTTAGCAATATAAAATGTTAAGTATTTCATTAAGTATGAAAAATAATATCACATAAATGGCCGCCTCTAGACCTTCTGCAACAGTCGATCCTTTTTAGTTAATTCTCGATGACTTTTTTTAAACATTTCGGGCGGTATGTCGGCATTACCTTGGCGGATATTGTTTTTGAGATGTTCTAACGTTTCGGGTTGATTGGCATAAACACAAATTTTAAGGTAACCCCACAGAAAAAATCTAATGGAGTTAGGTAGCAATGCGGCAATTTTATTTGTTTACGTATCCTGACAGATGGAAAGGCGTTTCATCAGAAAAAAAGATTTTCTTTGAGAAAGTCAATATCGATTTTCTGCTGAGCTAATACCCAAATTGCGTAAATTTG